GGGTTGAGCTCTGGCTCTTTGGTCCCGCCTCTCACCTGACAATCAATCAACTGTAACTAACTACTAAGTATCCCCCCCCCTCCCACACACATTCACCCCAGGAAACAGCTCCGTAACAGCTGTCTATCTCCTAAGTACCGATTTACTGCTAGGTAACAGGCGTATCAGGGTGAAGGAAACTTTGCCCATTTGTTTCTGCCTGGTCCGGGAATTGAACCCAGGCCACAGAATTACTAGTCCTGCGCGCTGTTCGCTCAGCAGACCCCTAGACTACCAGACCTACCAGACTACCTGTGTACTCACCTATTTGTGTTTGCAGGATCGAGCATGACTCTTGGGTCCCGCCTTTCCAGCCATTGGTTGTTTACAGCAATGACTCCTGTCCCATTTCCCTATCATACCTAATTTTAAAAGTATGAATAGAGTTTGCTTCCACAACCTGCTCATTAAGTGTATTCCATTTTTCCACTACTCTCACGCTAAAAGAAAACTTCCTAGCATCTCTGTGACTCATCTTGTCAACAATGGTCACAAAAGCACAAAACCCAAATGAATATATTGTTCAAGGTACAAATGACCCGTGGAGCAGAGTACAATAGATCCATAGATCAGAGTACAAGAGATTCGTAGATCAGAGTACAAGAGATTCGTAGATCAGAGTACAAGAGATTCGTAGATCAGAGTACAAGAGATTCGTAGATCAGAGTACAAGAGATTCGTAGATCAGAGTACAAGAGATTCGTAGATCAGAGTACAAGAGATCCGTGGATCAGAGTACAAGAAATCCGTGGATCAGAGTACAAGAGATCCGTGGATCAGAGTACAAGAGATCCGTAGATTAGAGAGTCAACATACAGACTCCGGTTCTGCTATTACGCACAATTTCTTGCAAATGTCGAGAAATGTTAAATATTTTATTTTACACAAAGGTGGATCCTGGACGGGCATGTGGCCCGAGATGGTGAAGTATTGTCAGCGAGCTCTGCTCTCACAGCCACAAGGCCGGCATTGTTGCTCTCGTGTGTGGGGTATTTTTAGCAAATTATGAGAATATGGAAATTATGAAACTTGTTTACGAAATGTCATCAGAGATGTTTTCCTTATTTAGTTCCTCAAATGAAATTCTAAGTTGTGTGGGAGTGAGAGGGTAAGTCAGGTGGCTGAGGATTAAAGAACAACACTTCGCTCGTCTGTGAGTGGTCAGCGAGATCAATATAATCTACGCTCAGAAAAGTAAAATTACCCAATTGTTTCATTAGTAAGATTTTGAAAGAAGTTAACGTCCATTAGTACCACTCATCATCAGGAGGCACCAGAAGATTGTTCCCAAGTAAAGCCTACTCATCCCTCACAGTGTGTAACAAGTAAAGCCTAACCATCCCTCACAGTGTGTAACAAGTAAAGCCTACTCATCCCTCACAGTGTGTAACAAGTAAAGCCTACTCATCCCTCACAGTGTGTAACAAGTAAAGCCTACTCATCCCTCACAGTGTGTAACAAGTAAAGCCTACTCATCCCTCACAGTGTGTAACAAGTAAAGCCTAGCCATCCCTCACAGTGTGTAACAAGTAAAGCCTAGCCATCCCTCACAGTATGTAACAAGTAAAGCCTAGCCATCCCTCACAGTGTGTAACAAGTAAAGCCTAGCCATCCCTCACAGTATGTAACAAGTAAAGCCTAGCCATCCCTCACAGTGTGTAACAAGCTTTACTACCGTCACACCGGGACATAATTACCAGTATTACTGACCACTGAAGGCCAGTCATAAAGAACAGCATTATACAAACACTTAAATATGAATGATCATAAAATCCTAGTCGTAGATTTTTCTGTGCGTTATCTTCTAAATTATGACTGCAAAATGCAAATAGAAAAAAAAACTTAAAGAAACTATATGATGAGCACTCATGTACCAAAAGAGTTATAAGCTAATGTTACTCATGTGATTTCACCTAACATCACATACAGACATCTGCTTGAGAACAAAATATTCACTGTATATGTCACAACGCACAGTGAGGGCGACACCATTGTTGTTGTTGTTGAAGATTCAACTTCTCGGAACAAAATTTGCAAGTAGCACGGGGTATGGTGAGCCCGTAGTGGACTTAAGGACGACACCATCTCTTCCGTGGTGCCAGGCACTGCACGAGTGGTGTCAAGGCTCTCAAACATTATCTCGTATCTAATAATTCTGATCATGATCTTCCAACGCTAGCTCGGGACCTCCCTTGTGTATCATACACAACCAGACCATCGCCAGACTTTCTATATTATAAGCCACAGTCATAAGGCAATATATAACTCAAAAGAGACTAAATAGAGCGTAAAAATCCCATTATCACTTTAATAATTGCCTCATTCAACATTCAAACTTCTTTTGTTGGTTGTGTAGCGGCTTCAGCTGTAAATGTATTTTAACTATGCTTCTCTGTCACAAACATTCAAAACTGACATCTTTAGTTACCAGGACAAAGGAGATTAAATGTAGCGGAAGTGATGTGTGGGCGCGGTGTTGCCGCCGCTACAGTCATCAGAGCCACCATGGCGGGCGCCGCCTCACCTACAGTACTCTAACTTGTTCCAGTTTTCAAGATAATTCATCTTAAATTCAGGAGTCAATGATTATGCAACTTCAGTGATTATGTTGAGCAGTGTCTTCTGTGATGGCATCGTTATGTTCCGGTCTTGTTCTTACTCTCTCGGTGGGTAGAGAAAACAGTTCTGTGATTTGGGTATTCATGGTAGGTTATTGTATTATTATGTTTATTGCTTCAAGAATTTGTAATCTTCCTACATCTTGGATTTTGTCTATTATACAAGTGTTTTTATTCAGCATTTCTCTTGTTAGGGTGATGTCATGGGCTTGTCTCATGTGATTCCTGGGGGCACCGGATTGATGATGACATGTCAAACGCCTCGTCAGCTTGGCCGACGTCATACCTATGTACTTAGATTGAAGGTTACATCCTTCGTGGGGGCAAGTGTACATGTATACAATGCTTGACTGCTGTAAAGGGTTCTCCGTCAGCTTCGGGCTGTTTTTAATGAGGTCGGTAGTCTTCTTTGTTTTATAGAATATGATCAGGTCTATGTTTTGGTTAGGAATAGTGTTTTTTACTCCTTTACGAGTTATTTCCTTCATTATTCTTTCTTCTTTTTTATGTTCACTGTGTATAGTTGATTTGTAATATAATTTTATTGGAGGTGTTGTGGTTTCTGTTCTAGGTTCAAGATTGTACCTTTTTTCCAGGTGTCTCCTTATAGCTGTGTTTATTTCCGTGTTGCTATATCCATTATTCATCAATACCTGAGTTATTCTTTCAAACTCTCTACTCACATTGCTCCATTCGGAGCAGTGTGTAAGGGCTCAACGAATATAAGCATTGAGAACACTGGTTTTGTATCTTTGGGGGCACTCACTCCTATCATTCAGGCATAATCCTATGTTGGTAGGTTTTGTATATCCGCTGGTGCTTAAAGAGTTTCCTGTTTTTATTATTAGTACATCAAGTAAAGGCAGACTGTTATTTTCACTATTTTCAGGTGTAACTCGGAGTACTGACTCTCTCTAGATGGCTTTTTAGATCAATTAGTTCATCTGAGTCTTTTACTATGACAAATATGTCATCTACATAACGGCAATATACAGTTGATTTTTGTCTACTACTGAAGACTCTATCTTCGATGGTTCCCATGTAAAAATTTGCGATTTTTTACAATTAGCTCCTAAAGGGGGAGCCCATTGCTACTTCGTCTATTTGTAGATACATGTCCCCTTGCGGACTGATGAAAGGAGCTTCTTTGTACATGCCTCGAGAAGGCTCTTCAAGTGTGGCTCGGATATGTCTAATTTGGGGGTGCTCTCGTCTCTGTATACTCTGTCCAATATCATCTCTATGGTTGTGTCGACTGGGACGTTGGTAAATAGGGATTCGACGTCCAGTTTGTTACCCAGTTTGTGTGTCTTAACATTGCCATACGCATATCCTATGCCATAAGCAGAGTTGGTAGCTCTAGGGGAGGAGGGGCAACAACACTAGTGGAATGAGTAACAATTGATTGTTTGATGAAAATTAAGTCACCCAAGAGGTGGCACGGACATGAATAATAATACATTTTATTTTATAACTTAGCCATAAACGCTTCCCACTTCGTGTTTCGCTGGACAAGTGAGGTGGTTCAATTGCTTCACAGGTATTGATGGTCCAGTTCAGGGCGACCAGGATTTACCGAAACCTACCCTGCCACCAACCACCCGTGTCAAAGAAAACTGTGCAAAAGCTGACAAAGAAAATTGAGTAATATGGTACACTTATAAAAACTGTCCGAAAGTGATTTGGACAAAACCAACAGAGTAAGTAAAGTAAATTTTATTCAGGAAAGTACATATATAGTTGATTTACAAACATAATGTTGGATTTATAGATAGAGCTAGTACATACAATACCTAAAGCCACTAGTACGCATAGCGTTTCGGGCAAGGTGTGGGGAAAAACCCCCAACTTAGACTAAAACTTAATAGTAATTGGGATTAGGTATAAATTGTGTTGAAAAAAAGAATAAAAAATAAAAAAAAAGTGGGGAACATGGCAGAAATAAGCAATTGTACAAGTTGGTGAACAAACAACAATGTTTAAAAGTAAGGTTCTGTTACAACCTTCTAGGAAGCTTCTAAGTTCAGAATTGACATTGCAGTTCAGAGTTTTAAATATATAGAGTACACATGAGAGGATGTGCAGTGACTTAATATCTAACATATTCAAAGATTTGAGTAAGGGGTACCGAGTGCTGTCTGGGGCCAGAGTTAGATATTGTTCTAATAGCAGCTTTGTGTTGAATAATTAGAGGGCATAAAGGGCAAATAATTTTGTGCAGTAGAACCCCAAGCACAAATACCATAGTTGTGATAAGGATAGATGAGAGAGTAATAGAGTGTCACCAGGGCAGGGCGAGGAGGGAGGGAGTCTGGGGCTCCCTCCTCCCCGGGAGGAGGGAGCCCCAGAACCCCGTCATCCAACCCTAATTCTGAGGCTGATGTGTTGAGTGGCAGTCGTTCGACTCTTGCTCCTGTCTCTGTGCAGTGCTGTGCCTTTGTGTAGTTGTTCTGCTGTGTGGTGGTATGCAAGCCAGGAGTAATTCATGCAGTACTGGGGCTGTATGCGCCTAGGGCCATCTTTCCTGGGTGCCCTGTAAGTACTGCCCTTGTGGCTTGGGGGTTATCTTCCACAAGTCATTCGGGAACTACCTCCGTAGGGATCTTTTGCAGCTCGATGATTGCTTCCCCTTGGGGTCAACTGGGCTTTTCATCGCTCCTATTTGACTTTGGGTAGGAGGTAGTATCGTCGCTGGTAGGGGCGCACGGCATTCATTCTATGCAGTACAATGAGGCTAGTCCCAAGAATTTGGCTTCCGCCCTTGAACACATTCTATTTTAAAATTTTAGTTTGAGTATATTAGTCAATTACCAGTGTCGAAAGAACTTTTGTTTTATATTTAATACCTTCAGTTTTCTTGATCGTTTTATTTCCAATTTTGTCTTGTAATGATTTAGAATAAATAAGAAAGTGCATTCTTCTTCTTAATTAAAAATGTAAAACAAAGCAATCCTCTCAGCCTCACCCCACTAAAATATTAAGTCCAATATTACACTTTTATTTGTTTAGAAATTGAAACAATTATAATATAAGAACATTTTATTAATAATAAAATACATATTTAAATATACATGCACTGTCTCATTCAATTTGTTACAGCCTAGTCTATTAATTGGACTGATGAATGCTGCAAAGAAATCCATTATATACTCATAAAATTATTATATAAAATAAAAAAATTGAAAATCATGTTTCTGAACATTCATGCCTTCCCTTCTTATGGGTCCAGCAGTTGTAACAAATTTGTTTGTTAAAATAAAAAAAAATGAAGGTTCAGATTGCTAACATTTAGTGAAGCATTAACTCTGATCCATAGTAATCTAGTAAATATTTTTTTTAGCTTAACAGCAAACAATGAATGTTCATTTTTTGGTCAACAGTGGATACAATTATAAGAAAGCAGTGAGCCAGTATGTCAAGTGTCAGTGAAAGTAAATATCTCTGAAACTGCATTCTCTGAGAATTGTTTGTAGAGAAAAGGTTGGAAAGGGGGGAAAGGAAAGGTGAGGGGAAGGTGGAAGGGAAGGAAAGGTGGGAGTAAAGGAAGAGGAAAATGAGGGAAGGTGGGAGCGAGGGAAAGGGGGGGGGGGAATGGAAGGGGGATGCGAGAGAAGGAGGGTGCAAAGGGGGTGTAAGGGAAGGGGAGTGAGGGAAAGGGGAAGGGGAGAGTGAGGGAAAGGGGAATGGGAGAGTGAAGGATGGGGGAGGAAGAGCAAGGGGCGAGTGTTGTTGGTTAAGCTCTTAAAAATGTCTTAAGCTTTTACTTCCCACATGTTCATGATGGTCTTCTCCATGTTGACATGTTGCACATCTTGATATTTGAGAGGTGCATAATTATCCTGCCTCCTCAAACTCTCCTTCATATCAATTCCCACTCTCATATATGAATGCCTTACTTATATTTTATTAAATATCATGCCAAGTTATCACAGATTAAACATTTTATGGATTAATTAAGATCTTGTGGCCTAATACTATGTCAAAAGTATTCTTTTGTGGCTATATTAGTATTTTGCAACCAAAGACTATATACAAAATAAACATGTACAACATTTATCTAAACTTGTCAATGATTACACAATTTTAAAGTATAAAACCTATCACCATGAACGTTATGCAACTTTCTGCCATGAACTATAGTGAAACAGGATCCTGCCATACAAAGCCATCTTCTCCATCTTTAAGTTGGTAGATCTGATGAGGTTCTAAAATAGCTGTAAGCTTTTTGAAAGGTGCATACACTTGCAGGCTAGCTATATCACCAACCATGATGAGTTTGTACTTGGCTCTTGTGACAGCCACATTGAGACGCCGGTCATCTTGAAGAATCTCACTAACCTGAAGAATATAACAGAGACAACACCATATTAGCAAGAATTTCATTGTCAACAAATATTACATCAGTCAAGATGGCCAGATGAATATAGCCTTACCTTTAGCCAGAGAACTTAACAAGCCATAGGCTTCCTGTCCTGGACTAACATTCCCAATTGTCAGAGAATTAGAGTTTAGACAAATGAAGCCTATAGACATTGAAGAGCTATGAATAACCGAGAAAATTTATATTCATTGCTCAATTTAAGCCTCTGATTTACATCAAATTTAGAATAACCTGCATCTGCAAATAAATACTTAGACAAGTGTCATAGTTCTGAGCCCAATTAAACAACTCGAGGTAGGCCAAAATTTGAACCCAAGACAAAGCTCCAAGATTCAACTTTGCTTAGTCTGGAATATGTTCTGAGTGCCAGGAAAATGAGCCAGGACTGGCTTGATTCCACTAGGCATACTTGGGACACTGCTTGTTTGAATCATTCTTGTGCACAGGAAAGAAGCAGAACACAGCTGAGAGAGAGAGAGATAATATCACCACAACCATGCCCCGGTGTACAAGTCTCCAGTAACAGTGTGCGGAAACAGAGTAGCTGGGTAAGCAGATGGTTGGTATAAACATGATTATGAAGCACTATTACAAAAAGCACGTCCTAAGGACACCAAAATCACTTAGTTTGAGGCACAGAATTAATGGTCTTAGCAGGAAAGGTAAAATATCAGGCATATTCAAGAAGAGGGTACTTGGCCGGATCCTGTGTGTCCTAGGCAACCTGGTGGCGGCCAGTGAGTTACAGGGGGCCCTAACAGCTGAGTGGACAGAACTTAGGATTTGTAGTCCTGAGGTTCCGGGTTCAATCTCCAGTGGAGGCGAAAACAAATGGACAGAGTTTCTTTCACCCTGATGCCCCTGTTACCTAGCAGTAAATAGGTGCCTGGAAGTTAGACAGCTGTTACGGGCTGCTTCCTGGGAATGTGTAACAAAAAGGAGGCCTGGTCGAGGACCGGGCCGCGGGGACGCTAAGCCCCGAAATAATCTCAGGATAACTTCAAGATATGGTTCCTGGTAGGCAGTGCAAGTCTCAGGAGCCTGATTTGAAAGGAAGGCCCTGCAATACCAATATCATAAGCTCCACCAAGATGCAGAAGGGGGCTAGGAAAAGAATAAAATAAAAAAATCTTGCTGCATATATATTATTGGTATATGTACAAGAACATGTACTAATCTTGAAAACTAATAATATTATTGAAGGAGTTTAAAGTGATGGCTTATCTTCAAAGTACACCTTAGAATCACGGTCCAAGCATTTTAGCAAGAGATGTCAGAAACTCACTCTTTGGCTTTTGTTATCCCTATTAGAGGATACAGAAGCAGATGACAACTGTCTAATTTACAGACTTGGTTTTCCCTCCAATACCTTATCTTAAGAATTATATAAATTCTTTTTTCCTCTGATCAGAACTGCATCAGTTTATAAATACTTCCAAATTATTGCTGAATAAACGGGCAAACAGTTAAAGATGAGTGTCGAATTCTCTCTTCACACCAGGGGGTTGAACTAGTGACAATCTCACTTGCAAGGCATGCGCGGTGAAGGTGTTACCTACTACACCATAGGAAGCAATAAATACTTTATGTTTAGTCAAAAGAAATTGAAAATAGTGGTTGCACCAGGTACTCTAAAGCAAAAAGCTTGTCCCAGGAGTTAATCCTCACTACCTGCAAAATACATATAGTATAGAATGATAACATAAGGTAAGAACCTACATCCAACTGGGCAGCACCAGAGCGCACACAGCTGTACAATATGACATCCTTATCTCGTCCTTGATACTGGTCCACTGTGTTGACTTCTACCCTCTCGCCCATAGTAACTTCTTTTATCACGCAGTCACGAATCTGTTTTACCTGAGCACGGTATGGTGTTATTACCCCAACACCCTCTGTAGTTAAGCCAGCCTATGGAAGAAAATAAAGCACTTTTAAAGATGATATACTGTATTGTATATTGTATTAGAAAAAATTGTTCACAATAAGTTTATCATCTTTCACAGGTGTATATAAATTCATTCTTTTACAGTACTTACAATACTTGTACCTTAACAATTCATTAAAAACATTTTCACCAAAACATCTTCAACCTACATTAGTAAGAGCCTGAATTAAAGCTACCACTACAGCTGCTTCTTTATTGTTGACCACATTGGAGCCATTTTGGCTTTCGCTGGCAGCTCCACAGGTGTCCAAGAACATCACTGAGTGTTCTAAGCTCGGCTCTAACACTTTTTCCTGCCAGCATTCTAATCTTCCACTGCTTACAACACCCTGAAAGATTTAAAATATGAGTAAATAAAAAAAAAAAACCTTACCAGAACTGAAAATTAAATAACAACATGCCCCAGAAATTGGAGGGAATTGAAGCAGATATCATACTTACCCAACTAGATAAAATAATGGGCCTCCATGTGTTGGATACTTTAGATTCCACACACACAACCAAAAAATACTTTTGGTGGAAGCAAAGTACATTGCACATTTACAAAGCCAGTCTTCCAATTCTGTCCCTATTATATGAAAACGAGACTGGGTGTTGGCAAGACCTTTCAAACAGTGAGGTCTAAACCCCATAAATCTGTAATAGAGACTTAGTTTGGGTTCAGCTCCATAATGGGAGAGATTGGGATGAGCTCTCCTCCTAATTAGCCATGAAAGTCTGAGATGTCTGATGAAATGGTAATGGGTCTTGGGTACCAATGCACAAGTTCTGCCCAGAACTTGGCTGCTAAAGAATGAACTTGGCTAAAGAATGTACCCACATCCTCCCTCACTCCATCCCTGGCTCTTTGTGAGTCTTGACTATTGACTGTAAATTATGTAAATCACAAGACTGTCAGCTTTGAACAGATGCTTACTCTGTAATTTGGTAGATGAACTGTGGCAGTCTCCAGGTCAGGACTGGCACACTGCAACTGATTATCATACATAAGGCAGTTGGCAATCCTCATTATGGGTCCATTCATACGATATTGTACAGTCAGATTTGATGTTGCTCCTTGAGAGTCCAAGAGCATAAATAGGGACTCAGACATTCCCAAATTTCTGTGATAATAAAAAAAGTCAAAATTTAAACTTTGTAAATTTAAAAAATATCATAACTTTTAGATTAATTTGTCAGTATTTTATGCATCTTAAGGGAACTCACTTGAGAGAGGTGGCCATGATAGAAGTGTCCTAACTCACCTGGCTTCTTTACTCTGGACAACTGGTGGCAGTTGCTGTGGGTCCCCGACTAATATGAAGCGAGAGGCATGGAAAAGTGGTCCTAGTGCTGCAGCTTGAAGAACCTTAAATGATTATAGGAAACTAATGATGGTAAAGACATAGGTGTTTTAATATTTAAATTTTGTGAACTTAGAATTGGCTAATATTGGTGAAAACAAATTAAAATTATCAACGAGTATAACGAGAATAAATATCTTGGCCCAAATATATATACAATGAAGATTACCTGTTACCTTAGTTTTACAAGGTACAAGATTACCGGTTTCTTGGAGCATTACCCGTTTCTCGGAGGGGCCCTCCTCAGTCGATATGCTAAGTGCTGGGTATGACATGCCTTATGGAGAAGCACCAGGCCTCTCAGATCCACTCTTGTCTACAATAAACCTGGAACAGCCAGACACACTGTCCAGAAAGCACCAGGTCTGTACCCAGACCCCAAGGATCGGAACCCAATACCATGTCAAGAAGTGCTACCAGCAAGCCTCGAACCCACTAGTCCCAAAGGCCAGTGATGCATGCACACACTACCAGCAAAAAGACAGCTAAGAAAGTGCATACAACTGGAGGAGGCAATATCCCAAGAAGGCCTGGGAAATACACATGCCTGAGGGGACCTCTCAGGGAGAACAATATACTGTATTTCAAAGACCCTGAATGCACCACACCTGGTGTGGAGATGGGGTAAGAGTTTTCCTCAGTTTTGAGTGAATTTCTAATCCCCCAAGCTCCACCTACCTTGTAGAGTGTGTTAGTCTGGCTCTCGCTTCTAATATGCAAGGGTTGCTCTCAAAGGCCTCTCAAAGGCATCTCCCTAAAGCTTGACAGGACCATTGTTTAGCTTGTGGAGCTATTGAGAGGGGCCCCCTCCCCCAATAACCATCCATAAGCAGGTAATCTCTGGAATGTTAGACAAGAGTTTATGATCCAGACAACCAATAATTTCAAAATGTTCAAACCAGAACCATGCTCTCTGAAAAAGTCAGTGAGAACTGTCTGACACAGGGAGCTTGTGTAGCCATCCCCCCAGGATATAACAGTGTCATACAGCAAGCCTCCAAAAGCTGTTGAGCTGTGCACTGTGCAATAGCGAATGTCAATACACCAGAATCAGCTCCAGCAAGCTAATAAAAACAACGAATTTCGAAAACTGAACATTGCAGCATGCATAACCAGGCATACACCAGAATGATAAGCACGGTCAAGTGGGATGGTACTTTTCACCTTACAACTACCCCCATACGACAACTAGCACCAAACTGACACTGAAGCACATACACACATATATGTGTATACGTGTCAATACAGTGTGTACTACAGAAGGGCACCAGAGAACCAGTAACAATTTCAAGATATCTGTAGCTAAATGAATGAAACTGCCCAACTGACTATCATAGAACATAGGGAAAAGAGGTGAAGAGATAAGATATAAAGTCCCATGTCAAAACCAGACACACTGAATCAAGCTCTACTAAGCTTTGAAGAGAAATCAGAAGATACCCAGATCCCTTCCTCAACATAAGCAGAGGGACCAGGTCTGGGTCCCAATTCCAAAGTAGGACCCAATCCAACAGAGGAGAAACAGTCAACCTAGAGATCTTACATTCTTAAATGAAGCCCCTGACTGGAACACACTTGAGCAGACCTAAGAATGGAGTGCGACCAAAGGTATGCCACATTCCCAGCAACAAGAAGAGGTTTGTCCGCTAATGGAAGGAAGCTGGCACTTAAAACTGTAACAAGAATTGCCATCAAATCAGTACTTTTCCTCAGTTCAAATGCATAGTCCCAACCTCACAACAGGAACAAAAAGCAAGTCCAGCTAAGACTGCAACAAAACTAACTGGACCTGTAGAAACCCAAGAAACATAGACAAAACTGAATCGATGACAGGCAACTGGCAATGCTTTTGGGAGGGACTGAGACCTTGGAGTTTTTCCTACATTTGTCTTAAACCTAAGTGGCACCCCCATTCACAACCCTGTCTTTCAATTCAAGGCACTTAGGGTCTCCAAAACAGCTATTTATCACATTCCTAACAGCCATTTCTGGTTTTACTCCACAACTCAGGTAAGTGTACCATTTTTTTTATGTTTATCTTCTCTTTTTCAGTAAATTGGCCATGAAAATTTTACCCAAGAGAGCGACCAAGTGGATTGAGCTTTTACCTTGTACTGATGAGGTATTAGTCAAGTTGAATGCGGGGGCACTTCTGTTTACATTTTGATGCTAAAACCTGAAGATAGGTGGGGGGCAGCTGCAAGGCCGTCAGATAACAGACGGCAGAGCAATACTTAACAGTCCATTTGAAGGTGAGTACTTTTCTGAATGAGGATGCATATATTTTCTGGAGTCATTCTGGGCTGAATACAGAATTTCCTAATCTCCATTCGCCCATTAATGGTACAGCTTAGATATTGTATAAAGATCATTGTATTGGGATGTAAAGGTTGATCTGGCTTGGCTGATATTTTGCCATGTACTGATTATGAGGATGCAATGGAGTAGTTTGTTCAGAAAAGGAGTTTATATCTAAAATCAAAGTTGGTGACAGCAGAGTAAATAATGAAGCGATTGTAAAATGGTGAAAGAGATTTGTTTTAAACCTAGTAACTTTTACGCTCACCTGTGAAGCTTCATCAATAATGCAAAAATCGAAGGTTCGTTTGGAAAACAGCACATGGTTGATACCCAAGCATGTTGTAGCAACAACAAGCTGAAAGAAACAAGAATATTACAGATATAGTAAACAAGAAATGGTGGTACAGTACATGCAGTTTTACCCAAAAGTTGCTATTCACCAATGATCCCCACATTATAGCCAACAATAAACATACAAAACTATGTTCAAGTTATTATTTACCCTTGCTGATGACTGCTGTTGGTGTATGGAAGATGGTGAGGAGGAGAGGTATTACTGTATGGAAGGGGAGTCTCCTTCCATTATAATATCAGGCAGTGAGGACTTCACTGGTGTGCACTCTCTGGCACGTTTTGCCTGCATACCACTAGGACTTGCTTGTTTTACTAAGAATCTGTATAAAGGCACTTGTTTTTCCCTACATTTTAACACTTGTCTGCAGTAAGTCATCACATTGTCATTTACAAGGTCAATGCAACGGCCTGCTACAGCTTTATCTGGGCGAGTTTTTTTCAACAAAACTTTGCAGTTCTTCCCATACTTCACACATTTTTTAATGAAGAAAGGACATCCTCTACTGCCTTTACTAACAACTATTTTCTTAGGTTGAACCTTACCACTGACTTTCTTGGGACCCATGGTGAGATATATAATAACTTTTATGCACAAATGGCCAAAAATCCGACAAAAAACTGTAAACCCTTGCGAAGAATTCAGGCGGGATAGTCACTGGGCGCGATCGCCGTGCCACCACGCGCTAGTCGGGCCTGAACGCATATCAACACCCTCACCTTCCGAGGCAGACTGAGGGGTCTGGGGCTTCCTCTTCCCCCTCACGGGGAGCAGGGAGCTGCGCAGACGGCGGCACGGCGACGTAGTGACGTCATGCGCCTTAGCTCGTTTTTGTTTGGGGAGTTCTGTCCACTAGTTTGGCTCTCAGTAGCAATTTCTTAACCAGAATAGGGGTTTGTTTTGGGACACCTACCTTTCTGGGTGCCTGACCCAGTCGATGGCAGACAGAATGCTTCCCACCACATGAGGGTTTCTATAGGCCATTGCTCCTCGTGCCTATCTGAGGGGGCCAGGTTCTGGCTTGTGGTCCCCAGTAGGCCTAAAGAATTCCATACACATGACTGATGCCAAAGTCTGACATTAGCAATATCAGCCTGGATAGCTTCAGGGAGCCAATGGGGCTCCCCCCCAGAAAGAAGGCAATAGACTTGCAAACAAACTGGCATACACACCATGATATATTATTACAGAGCATAAAGCCTCTACACCGGACAATCATCCAGTGCTCAGATCAGGAAAGCTCCATCATTAAAACACATTGCCAGGCAAGAGAGTGGGGGGATGACTTACCCTGAACCTCAGGTAGCTTGAGGGGTGTCACTTAGTCGATTTATAGGAATCAGATGGTTCAGAGTTGCATGGCAATTAGTGATGTCCTAACAATTTTGTAGGAATGCTCAGTTTTAGGAATTTTCCTTCCTGCCATGGTCAACCTCTGTAGTGGGTTGAGCTCTGATCCTTACGAACTCTTCTGCTGTGAAGAGGTGCAGGCAATGATGGTGCTTGTCTCCAATGTGCCAGGACTATCACTGGGTGCCTGGCAGTGGCAGTTCTCCAACCCAGCCTGGTCAAATAAGCTGATGGGAGGTGTCATCCCTGATGACACCTCCCATCAGCTTATCCCTCCCTCATCCCCCTCCCTCCCATCCCCCCAGAAAGATGATGACAAAAGATATATGCTCACCTTATTTGCGTAAAATTCTGAAAAAGATGAGACATTTTTAAATTTGCAGGTTACTATTTCATCAGCATATGACTGTAAATCTGGATGAATACGTGATAATCGTCCAAGACGGAGAAAATCCACATTACACACCTGGTGGAGAAAACATTTTGCTTAAAGGAAACAATATACATACTGTACATTTTTTTTTTAAATGACAATACAGTATACCAGATACAGAAAAAAATTACCTGTCCATAGGATGCATTTGTAAAATTATGACCATAACTAGATCACAAATGCTCAAGTAATATCAATACAGTATTTATAATATCAATTATTACTAACATAAGCCATCCTAACAAAATGGAAAACAAAAATTTCTAGAGTAAAGATGTGGAGGGTAGAGTTAGTTAGTTTTTTTAATTAAAAACGTGCTTAGTCAACAAGTAGCCCGAACTAAGTTGCTTCATACAGTGTTGCTGTAAGTAATACAGTATGTACTGTACTTAAAATTCTTGAAAATTTAGAAACTTAAAAACATACTAAAATCTTTTAAAATAACTATGACTTACTTTCAGTTTCAATAAAATATTATCCACAGCAGAGTGAGTGTAGCTGGTGAGGAGTACAGACAACCCCAACGTTACCATCAGCTGAACCATGGCAACTATGATGGAGGTTTTGCCTGTTGCAGGGGGGATAATACAACTGGGTAATTCATGTATGTATTAATGCCTCGAGCATTAACCCTTAGATGACGGCTCATGCCACTTGACAATTTTTACAATAGAAATTTATGATAAATGGATTCTGCTTAGAAACCCTTATAGTTATCATGATCAGACATTTCTCTGGCAATTATTACTTAAAATAAAAAGTCTTATTATTATATGTAACAAAATTTATTTATTGGGAGAGTTTAGAAACTTTTGGAGCATGTGGCACAATCACACCCAAAAATATTTATTATAAGTAATAAGATTGAGACCATTTTTGGTACTGTATTTTTTATTAATGTTTCCCATAAATTCCAAAAGAAAAGAAAATTTTAAAATATGAACCAGCTCCATCTAAATTTGATGAACTGATATCAATATCTAAATGTAATTAGTTTGAAATTATGTACAGTATATCAAAAGAAACATGGAATACTCATGAAAATATTTCAAATTTTCTGATAATGTATTACATAATAACAATTGTGTTGTACTATAGCCACTAAAGACTTACATCACCGGGATGTAAGGTAAACTAAACACAAATGTGACCTTATCTCCAGAGGTTTTGTATAGTCTGGAGTGACCCTGGCCACTGTGTGTGACAACGTTACTGATTATATTGATCACACTTCAAATTATAAGCATTATAATATTGCACAAATTTGAGCACATGTTATTTCAGTGTGCCCCAGCAACAGGTCTGCACTAAAAGCAAGCACATTACAAGCCCATTGGGCTCCAGATGTAGACCCCATACACTACACAATTATAAATATTCCTCAGCTCTACAAGGTAATATAGGTCCATACATTTAATGCCCCTCTGAAAAACCCAGCGTTGCATGTAATGAAACGCCATTTTCTGGGTGAGCCCCAGAGGCTCCCTGGAGCTATTGGGCTAATGAGTGATATATTAGCTGGGGCATTAATCTATGGAGTTCAGCTTACCAGGAAACACAAGCCAGAACCTGGTCCCCCCTCAGAGAGGTTCAGGGAGCAATGGCCCTGGAAACCCCCCTGTGGTTGGTTTTTTTTCCATATCTGCCATTGACGAGGTTTAGGCATCCAGAAAGGTAGGTATAACAAAACAAACCCCACATGGTAAGAAAATTACAAATAAAAACCGAAAAGAGAGGCAGAACTCTCTCCAATCCCAAGGAAACAAGCAAACACCACACTCCACTGCCACGCCGCTCATTCACGCAGCCCTCCCCTGTAGGCTGAACTCCAATTGACTAATGCCCCAGACTAATATAACACATATCAGTCTGATTGCTCTGGGAAACTGTAGAGGCTCCCCCACAGAAAAAAACACTAAATTAGGAAAAATGCCCAAGAGGTAGCCATAATTTTTTGGTGAGGCTGATTTTGCTCACCTGTTCCTGGGTATCCCTTCAGCAAGCTATAGCTCTCAGCCATGAGGGTTCTGAGCACTGCTCGTTGTTGTATCTTATTCAGGCTTTTAAGTATGTGTTTACCCTTGGACACAACTTCTGGTGAAAGCCCTTTCTTGAAAGATGGACGATTTCTAGAAAGAAAAGAATTTTAAGCATTTTTAGCATAAATTGATGACATGTACAGTACTTGGAATATCTCACTGAATGAGACCCCATTTTAAAGAAACACAATGAGATATATCTGATTAAAATTAAGTAGGCAACATTAACTCATACAAAGAAAAATCCAATTTTGAAGAAGCACGAGTTTACAAACTGGAAGCGAGAAGGAATGACTCAAGTAGTTTAAAAAAAATTGCATATTGTTGACTTCAACAGAGAAATGATTGAATTTTCAAGAATGTTTTGTACAATGAAACACAGTAAAAACTAAAATACAATTAAAGTAGTATAATCTAAGCAAAGTGAATATCGCAGGCACAATACAGTACTGGATAAAATGCATCAGCAGTATGAAAATATGCATCGTAATACAAAATTTCAAAGTGTGCGAGTTTAATGCAAATACATGCAGTGTACTGTGTTCATGGTTAACCATGAACACAGTATACTACACTTACCACTACACTACCATGTTCTCTGTAGTGTATTGGGATCCCACACACAAAACATTTCTTGAACTTTATAAATATTTTGAAATATATTTGTATACATCCCAAGCATTCTGGACTTTAACATGTACTGTACACTATATATTCTTGAAAGTTTGAGATGGCATTAAATATTAATGTAATAATAAGTGTTTATTGAGAAAAGTGCAAAAAACCAGCGTTGAATGTAATGAAACGCCATTTTCTGGGCGAGACCCGTAGGCTCCCGGAGCTTTACCAGGCTGATATGCTAATGTCAGACTTTGGCATCAGTCATATGTATGGAGTTCTAGGGCCTACCGGGGACCACAGCCAGAACCTGGCCCCCTCAGAGAGGCAAGGGGAGCAATGGCCTATAGAAACCCCCATGTGGTTGGAAACATTCTATGACTGCCATCGACAAAAACTACATAAATCTTGACTGAATTAAAAGAAAATTTCATATTTACCTGTCAATCACAAGAGCCCTGAGGCGAGCTGCCTGTGGTGTGTCCATCAGTAGCTTGGCTAAATTAGTGAAGTTGATGCTCATTGTATTCTGGTATTCACACCGATCCACATGAAATTTCTTTTTATTCCAGTTGGAGTATAATGTTAAGTCTCTGTAGACAAGAGGATAAAAAGAGAGAAATGTCAAACTGCTTTTAAAAAATATAATTATGAGGTTTGTGGATGCTATTGTTGGTTATGCACCAGACAGATGTCATGGGTGAAAGAACCCACACCATAACTTCAGTTACTGGTTCAGAACCAATTTCCACATGCTCAACATGAGCAAAACATTAATTGAGGTCTACCATGATAATGCACATTACTTCCCAATGAGTTGTGGGTAGCTGATAATGATTGGATAATCACACAATTCTTGATGGGGTTGCACTGTGTTTGACTTAATCTATGGGAACCAGGATTTGCCAGGTTTGTTCACCAACATACAAATTTATAAGGCAAACAGGCATGCATTAAGGTGCTCAAAGTTGCACCCCAGGGAAATCTGAACCATCACTGATTTTTTGATACGGTTGAAAATCGAAAGTAAAGTTTTAGAGATAACTGAATTTGAACTTAATGACAATGAATAGGGTAGTTGAAACTCATTAATTTACTTGAATGTTTTAATAAACATTGTTTGGCATTCATACTGGAATATGTGAAAGTTGTATGTCAATATGTGTTGAAAAGAAGAAAAATTAAAAAATCCCCCACCCCCCAAAAAATATAAAGGGATAATTATATTAATTATAATGATTTAGGGGGATATATTTAGGGAATACTTTTATATAAGTGAAAAAGCAATAATTTGTTCCTTAATCATCAAAACAACCTAAACAGACAAAGAAAAGAGACTTTGAAATCTGAAAAAATCAGCCAAAAAAAATTTATTCCTAAGTTCTGCAAGTTGTGACTGACTTATTTATTGACCAATTTCATTCTATCTTCACATAGTTAGGGACGAATATGCACTCTCCAGGATGTAGAGGTTACAATAAAAACAGATAAACAAAGGAGAAAAAAAATTGCACATTGCTCAAAGTAACAGATATAAACATTCGGCAATGTACTTATACGATATATAACAAAATAGAGCATAACAACATACTTACTCATTATTTGTGTTATTATGTATTACTCAGCAATGCTATAAAGGCACCAGCTGCATATCCACTTTGTGGACACTTCTTTACTACTATTTTTCTTCTTTAAGCGTCGGACAGGTGCCTGCATCTCTATATTACTGTACAGCATTATCCATCAGGTACAGTTAATAGGAGCTGTTCTCCTTATCAATAAAATATTATTCTTTTTAACAAATTTGTCTAAAATCAATTTCTGAAAATATTTTGTTGAAAATTTTACAACGCAGAAGCCAATAATTAGGAGATTTGTTTAACATTTTAAAGTAATTTTTACATAATTCAAATATTTTTCGCTCATCTGCCTCTTATTCTTAGCAGTGTAAGAATTAAGGGAGCATATTGACATGAATTTGTTTTTCTTGGAGGATCAAGTTTGTCATGAGATTGGCATAAAGATAATGTTCCTTAAGTGCCAGTAACATAAGATGAGGGGAGCACTTAGGGGTCTCACCTAAATTACTTATTCCATATTCAGTCCTTTTCATTGTTGCTTCTTATACATTGTTCACATTTGTGCATTTTCTCATGCTCACTACTTGTGTTCAACTTCTCACCCTTCCACACCATCTCAATCTCTCAAGTTCACTAGAACAGACTTTCAATTTATGGCAAGATAAATATGAATACAGCACGTACCTGTCCATAACAACTCTGACCGAATCTTCTTCAAAAGAAGCTATTACTCCTAAGCTCAGAGCAATCTCTGTCTCTGATGACACAACAATGTTATCAGCAACCTGTAATGAAACAAATAAAACATAACAAATCACTGTACAACACTATGCAAAGTTCACCTATTCTTGACACGTATCTGCATCCGTGTAACCAGCACAACATACATTCAATTATAATTGATTTATCATCACAGGATTAGATACTGTGGTAGAAGGCTTGGCATGAACATTTTCCTCAGTGAAAGGCATTTGCTGATAATTTGTTCCACAAATATCATCTTTTCTAACAAATTAATGGAGTTTAGATATAAATAGAAACATTGCCAGTGGTGCATTCCAGGCCTCTAACCCCAAAACTTGGAGCCATGAACCAACTTTGATTCATGCACACTACCAATGCCATTTAAAATTAAAGATGTACTAATAGCCAAATTTTGTTCAATACTGATGCAGACTTATTAGCTGATAATGATACTAATACTTCTATACTATAGAAAGACTGATGCAAGGGGCACCCAATATATGAATGGGAAACATTCTGAAAAGGTATTTGTAAGTGGGCTGTTCATAAGGTAAACTGCCCATTATCAACAGCATGCTAAGGATTATGATTGTAAGTGGACAAAATTTCTTGTCAATACGATAAGGAGCTCTTCTGGTATCAAAATGAATTAAAGTCCCCATGGCGCAGTGGTAAAACACTCAGCCGGCACTTCGCGAATGCTTTGGCCTGGGAGAATTGACCGGATGCCAATCCTTAACTGTAGCCTCTGTTCACCCAGCAGTGAATGGGTACCTGGTTGTTAAATAATTTGGTATATTGTATTCCGGGAAAGAATTAGGATCAAGGACCTGCCACAAACACTATGAATGCTAATGGCTTTACAAAAATGTAACAACTCTTGTGTATATATATATGTAATATATACAGAAAAATCTGACAAATTCTGGCAAAAACTACTTCTACTGGGCTTCAACATCCAACTTTAATATAAAGTATGTATTGTGGTCATACAGAAGTCCTTTACCTTACAAGCCAACAAAACTTGAGGTATCTGAACAAAAGCTATCCAAATACTGTACCTGCAAGCCAACAGATGCTAGTTTGGTAGGGTTAGGATGAGTGGAAGACCTTGTGAAGGCATGAAGAAACTGGCCTGGCACCGTCTCAATTACAGGAATTGTTTTTACCAAAACAAGCCAGGACAAACAATCTCCACTAGATTCTCTGTGAAAATAAATGATTTAAAATAAAGTGATACATTTATAAACTGAAAACCTTATGCACACTGCAGTATATTGATAAAACTGCACCTCCTGAAAATATGAAACACTAACCAGCCAATGAGTCTGAAGACACATTTTTATTTATCAACTGCACACCAAGTAATACTTCAAACTTCAGTATCTCCCAAGGTAAGTGGATACCTGATCTTGTCAGCCATTATGACTTCCGTAGGCTGTTACCTGAAGCAGCTTACGATGGGATGTTGACCAAAACCAAACTGTAACCAATTTCTTCTTATATAAATGGCCACAATTTAACTTTTATTTTGCAGAAGAGGGTCTCGGCTTGGATATCGAACTATTCGGCATTTCATTTATGTGTTCTTTCTGGACCCAAAGAAGAGTGGGTCCTTAATACATTGTCCCATACTCTTAATATTTGTAATCAAATACACACAATTCTGGTTTCTTTGGGTCACAAGTCATATGATATCCATTATTTTTACTAAGCTTTCTCAATTTGTACATATTTCCTCTTCCACTTAAATATCAGCCTTATCCAACAATATACCCCACATTTTCCACACATTATTAATTGAACAAAACTTTTGTTCTCAATATTCAGACAAACATATTTAAAATATTCTTACTGTATTTTAACAAAGTAAGCCTAAACTCCTCTTTTTGCCACAACAAATATAATAACAAATAAGTTCAGTTACCAAAATCTTACCTCTTAATGGGATCCTGGCACCAAAGCCCTCTCACATTAGAATGTTTTTTTCCATCAGAAATTTCCAAGTGCAACAGCAGGCACCAGTGACGAAAATAGTCCAAGTGTGTCTGGCATGGAACAGTATCATTAAAGGGATAAAGGCAACATGTCCAAGTATAATAGTCTGAAATTTCAGAAACTTTGTCACATAAAATACATTCACAGTCTAAATAAATCTCTAACTACCTAGCTATATATAACAAAGCATTTTTCAGATTTAATGATGTGTGTCTAAAGCAAAATCTTATTTATATTATTTGGCTACTTTGCACCTTGTTCACACCCATGTCACACACTACAGAAGTAATGTCTTTTGCAAATAGTAAACAAGGCTTCCCATTTTGTTCTGCTAGAATAACAGCAACCTTGCATCCTCTGTGATGAAGGGGTGGTGGTGGGAAAATATATTGGGTTGGAGTCAAAACCTCTTGAATTTTCACCCCACCAAAAGGAATAAACTTTTCTGGCAAGCAATTTAAAGTGTAGCAAGGGGGAGACAGCAAAGGGGATGAGAACACTAACAATGGATGTGTGAAAGAATACTTGCCGGTGAAGAATTACAAACAGGTAGGGTACTTGTAAAGTGTGATGGAAGGAAACAATAAAACAATCATGAACATGAATGGTTTACCAAGTGTAGATGAAGTACAGATCAAGCACAAATTATTAAATCTTCTGATAGAAAACTGGTATAGAGGATTTGCTGAATCATACTAACAGCATTAAAAAGTGGTACTTTGCTAAATGACTTGAAAGGAGCAAAGATTGTACCATTGTATAATTTTAAGGGAGAATGTAACGACAGTAAGAAAAAATAGTCAAGAAACTGTCCAATTTAATAGTACAACACCAATTACTAATTTTACATATAATTATTTGAAATTCATATTAATGAGGTAAATCCCTTCAGTAATAACAAGAATGTGATACTCAAATATCAATAACTAGCACAACAGAACACTAGTAATGCAATGAATCTTATAGGAGCAAATCTGGGAAAAGAATATAAATTATATTATATCATTTTGAAAACTCACCTTTAGCAAATGATCTGTGGTATTAGGAACAAGTGTGGCCATGGCATGTGGAGGCTCTGGAACTGGATTTCTGTCGATCTTTTGATATATTGAGCAAGTCACCAGGTGGGCACACTTTGTACAAGCTCTTTCAAAATCTATTGGCTCAGGAAGAGGCGGCAACATTTGAGGCTGAAACAGAAAGTTAAGCTTGTACAGAAGTAACCATCTATAGATAAAATTGTTGTAAGAGAGGCTACAACCTGGAACATAAGGAAACAGACTAGAAAAGGTAACCTGAAAATTGGTAGGCACTTCAACCTACAACCTGAGAACTGTCAGGCAAAAATAAGAGCACCAAGGCACAATGCGAAAATGAGAAGTCATTTCATGCATGCATTCACTAGTACACACTGCAGAGGGGGAGTGGAGGCACATGTACTAAGTGGTACCCTAACCTGGGAAACAAGATTAACACACTGCCCAATGGATGGTGATTCCTCAGCTAAGCCAAAGGAAGAGACAAAACATGGTAGTTGAATCTCGGCAGGAACTTCCCACATACATCCTGGCAGATTGTGGGAATGTCTTCTAGATATTTTACACCCAGAGTGAGAATCTAAAGAAGAGAGAGGATCAACTCAACCCCTTTTGATTTTACAGAATAGGGTTTTCAAAGGGTTCAGTTAAACTATGATCCATTGAGGCTCCAATGGATACTGTGATTATTTATTTGATCATAGGCAAACAAGGGCTAATCCCCCAAAACTTTAACAATCTCAAAATTTATCACAAGTCGAGCCTGGCCTCAGGCTGGGCTCGGGGAGTAGAAGAACTCCCAGAACCCTCTCCAGGTATGCTCCAGGTAAGGCTAATAATGCCCTCCATTGTTAATGCACAATGACTATTGATAATGGGCAGATAACCCAACTAACCCCATGCAGCTTTTTTTAACTGCAAAGATTTACATAAAGTAAAATAAATGTATATAACAGAAAAATGTTAACTTGTATTTAGATATGAAGAGCATTAAATTACCAATTTATAAATTATCTCTATAGGTATGATAAATCTCTCAAAAATCCACTTTTGAAGAAATCAACAACTATCACCATTGAAAATGACAAGGAATGCATTTGTACAAATTTCTGAACTGCTCTGTCTACTTTAAACTTTGGAAGGTAATAAAATTAATGATAGCAAAGATTCTTTTGTGTTCAGTAATACAGTTTATTGTCTTATAATTTATTTGTAAGGCTTAACCATGTATATATTATAACTAATACATATTTGTTCTCTAAACTTTATTATTATACTGTTGTTAAATTGAGACAGTGCCAATAAAATTCTTAGAGAGATGTGGTAGTAAGATACAGAATAGGGTTTTGGTGATGTACAGTTCATTCAGCTACTGCTGTTAATCAAGCGGTCATGTACTTAAATCAAATAAATTAGCACAAAATGACCTGAACACTGAAAAATGCACACACTAGTTCATTATGAAATCCTGACTTTAATGAATGTGCAAATTGTCCATTGACTGAGCAACAGAGGAAGGTTTATCTCCCTCACTTGGATGGGTATTTATGAATCAATTAGGGCTTCATTACCTGCTTAATGATGTTCTGGGAGTGCTTCTACTCCCAAGCCCGGCCCGAGGCCAGGTTTGACTTGTGACATTGTAGGCTTAGTTGGTTGGCATGTGGCTATACACATCAACAAAAGGTAAACTAAAGGTAGGTAATTGGTGTTTGCCAGACAGACCAGTAACAGCCAATGATAAGCTCAGGGAAGTTACCAAAGAGACATCCCAGAAAAAAATAAAGACATCCAAATTGTGAATACAAAATCCAAATCATTATCTCTTTTTCATACATTCATGTGAATAGTATTATAGAATAGGAGGGCTAATAATATAGTGACATACCAAGTTTCCCTCCTGCAATACAGGCTTGGCAGTTATATAATGGATAATATCATTGCGAAGCTGGATGAGCCCTCTTTTCTCGTTATCTCCAGCTGGAACTTCTTCCATTGCACCATCCCTAAAATCAATCATAAAACTTTTTAATAAAGTGCTTCATTTGAATTATTTTAATATATGCCATTTAAAGGTTAAAAAAATCTAGCAATGTCAATGAACCTACAGTAAAGTTAATTAAGGTTTTATATGTACACATGGTTTTATTCCTCTCAACTACACTTTGTATATTGAATTGAATTGAATACTATTTATCCTTTGTACATTTGTTTACATTTATACAAATTAAAAAAACTAATTCATAAAAGGTTGTGTAGTTATAATTGAGTTATTTATAAATAAAAAACCCAGCATTAAATGTAATGAACCGCCATTTTCTGGGTGAGCTCCAGAGGCTCCCTGGAGCTATTGGACAGATATACACTATATTATTCTGGGGCATCAGTCAATGGAGTTCTGCCTACTGGGGGACCACGAGCCAGAACCTGGCCCCCTCAGAGGCACAGGGAGCAACAGCTTATAGAACCCCCCCCCTCCCATGTGTTTAGGAGCATTCTATGTCTGCCATCGACCAGGGTTAGGCACCCAGAAATTTAGGCATAACTAAACAGATCCCACCTGGAAAGAAATTGCAAGCAAAGACTGAACAGAGACAGAACTCGTCCAAAAACAGACAGGTCACCACAACTTGGGTAAGACGCATGAATATGTGATGTGCCAGATTCAAGCCAAAAAGGAAGGCAACGAAAGAGGCAAGCCTGATGCCCCACCACGAAACCTAACCAGGCCCTGAACCCCGGATGAATTGGGATGTGGCAATACACGTCCTGGAGATTCTTGTCTTGATATCTCTGACCAGAAGGCCTGGTCAGAGATATTCCACAGGGACATTAATTCACAGAACCACCAAAAAGTAGGTAATTGGGGTCTGCCAGTCAGACCAGTAACACCCAGTGATAAGATCTGGGGAGCTACTGAGGGGACAGCCCAGGATAAATTACATCCTGATTATAAAAAAGAAATCCACATCATTACCTCATGTCACGAATCCATGTGAATATTATAGCATAGGAGGGCTAATAATACACTGATATGCAACCTTTCACTTTGCCTTACTCACACAGTACCATCGCAGTGAGCAGAAGTCACTCTACCAAACTTCATGTTAATTACCATACAATCAAATTCATCACAATTATTCCTTCTAAACAAGTTGCTTCCATTCGAAGACTTCATTGTATGAAAATAACATGCTTGGCAATGTTATCATACTTAAGGTATAATAGTAATCCTGCTTTTGGATCTTGTCTCCTGTCACCACTCATCATGCTGTACAGAGTAACTTGTCCACGGTGTTCAGCAGAGAAGCTCGACCGTCCTGTTTTCAACTCGAGAGGTATCACCTGTAGATGTAATAGATTTACTCTCCACTTATCTTTTTAGATCCAGTTTAGCAACAAAGAAAAACAGCTCACTCTATCTGAATTCCAAGACTCATTTCTCTGAGTGTATAGTGAATGATTTTAGTTATAAGAAATTTGTTATAAATTGGCTGTCTGCTAATACAACAAATATTTGTAATAGTGTAAAGATTTGTTAATCGAGGCTCACCTGTTCCTGGTACACACAGGTCCAAAACAAACACTGCCCTGAGAGACAACCAATACAGTACAGAGCATCCTGCTGCCTGGTGTCTTGTATTGTGTTAAACCAGAGTACAGGGGTACCTCAGTTTAAGAATTTAATCCATTCCTGGAGACGGTTCGTAACCCGAAAATTCGTAAACCGAAGCGAATTTCCCCATAAGAAATAATGGGAAATGAATTAATCCATTCCTGACTCCCCAAAAACTTCACTTCAAAGTAAATTTTATACCTAATTCACCCAAATCTGCACTACAAAAGTATGTTCAAGTTATTACTTACCCTTGCTGCTGGCATATGGAAGATGGTGAGGAGGGGGGGAGGAGGAGAGGTGTTACTGTTTGGAAGGGGAGCCCCTTCCATTATAGCATCAGACAGTGAAGATTTCTCTGGAGTGCACTCTCTGGTACGTTTTACCTGCATACCACTAGGTCCTGGTTGTGGCTCACTGCTCGATTTCTCACTATTCTCACAAGGAAATGTTCAATTGAAGATTTTTTTCCCTTTCTTTGCAACACTTGTCTGTAGTGAGGCATCACATTGTCATTAAAAAGATCAATGCAACAGCCTACTACAGCTTTATCTGGGTGATTCTTTTCAGCAAAACTTTGCAGTCCTTCCCATACTGCACATATTGTCTTAATTAATGAGGAAAGGACATTCTCTACTGTCTCCTCTTCCTCCCCTGATGATTTGTTGTACTGCCTAGCTAGTTCAACAACACGAGTACCATTTTCATGCTTACGAATGATTTCTTATTTTTCCTCTATGGTCATTCTCACATGTGATTTCTTACCTTGAACTTTACCGCTGGCTTTCTTGGGGGCCCAATAGCAAGATATATAATAACTTTTATGCTCAAATGGCCAAAAATCCAACAAAAAACTGTAAATTCTTGTGAAGAATTCAGGCAGGATAGTCATTGTGCACGAAGCACTGGCAAACTGAGGCGCGATCACCGTGCCACCAGGCGCTAGGTCGGCTGTATGCGTATCAACAAACTCAAAGTTCGTATCCTGATTCAAATTTTCCAAACAAATTGGGCTCGTGACCCGAAAAGTTCATAAACAGGGACGTTTGTAACCCGAGGTACCACTGTTTCTTATGATCTGATATTAATGCACATGGTAGCATGCTCTTCAGTGAAGCTTTTACTTTGTTTTCCAAAGTGTTTTTTTGGCGACAGCATTCCAAATGGTTTAGGGTAGGCATCTGTCACCCCTATGTTTAATGCCTCTTTTCTTGGGAACTACTGAGCATCAAGATATAAGTGTGTAAGGATGTATGGAGTGTCATTGATAGTTTTTTTTTTAACTGAATGGACATATATTCTGGTAACCAACTAGCAGTGCATGGGGGCAATGCAACACCAATAATTGCCCCATCGCTTTTTACTCATAATGCACCATTCTAGATGTGAACACTTCCAATTTTACAGTTTACAGCCTGAATATGAAATAAAATATAATATCAAATAGTTGCCTCACAAGAATATTTTTCTTACAGTTTTTTGAAGAACTGTACTGTCATGGGAAACAAAGACTTCTAGTTTAGAATTTCTATTTTATAAAACAATGTCTCTAATTTAGAATTTATATTTCATAAAACAACGTACGTGCTAGAGAGTTTTTAATCATGTGTTGCAAGTGATCAGTAAGTGGCCAAGTACTGGCTACCTTGCCCTAAGTGGCTGAGGACCATGTTGTTATGCTGAAGACAAAAATTAAACCCGTGACAGTAACAATACTTTTGTTCATCCCAAGATTTAGATGGGTCTGAATAGTGAAACTCTCGCTTCTTGCAACACTGGTACTCAATCAACCAATGGTGCATGAAGTGAAGCACCATTAGATAACTTCAGATTTAGGAAGGACTTAAATACTGGTAAATACTGGTTTAGAAACAGAGTTGTTGATTTGTGGAACAGATTACCAGACAACATAATAGACATGGGATCACCTGATTGTTTCAAGCATAGTTTAGACATATACAAATGAGTTTGGATGGATATACTGTAATTAGGAGCTGCCTCATATGGGGTAATAAGCCTTCTGCAGTTTCCATAAGTCTTATGTTTTTCACTCGAATCATATCCAATCCAAATGCAATAGAATTATACTGGATTGGTACTTTTCTTAATAATTGAGCCTGGCCCAGGGAGTAGAATAACTCTCAGAACTCTCTCCATGTAAATACCTTATGGTTGTAAGTTCGAATGGTTCAAACTCCTGGTAAATACCTCATCATTTTAAGATTTCAAAGGATAACTTGAGCCTCCAGTAATATAGGGCCCCTAGAAAAATTTTACTCGATTCCTATTAATCTAATATATTATATAAATAAAAGAACTCACAAATATATGAATTACTACCTTAGACACACCACACTGACTTGTCTTCACAGTTAAATCAATTTTGCCTTTCACACCATATTTTGGTGACCAAATATTCTCTTCAATGTCCTGGATCTCCACTATCTTTCCATTCCACTGATTTCTTCTTTGTTCCTTTTCTTGCACTTTGTCTGAAAATAATAATGTGTATCAAACTTTGTTAAATAACATGTTTTGTTCTGTATTGTCACAATAACTTATCACAATGAAATGATTAATAAAAAATTTACATTATGTGCTTCCTACCTAAAGATGTATGATTTGAATCGAGGTATACTTGTGACCAAGCATGTATACGAGGTATAAAATTAATCATTTCTTCATAAATAGTTGCCTCTGGTACCCCAATACCATACAGATCCCGTAGAATCTTCGGTTGTGACATCAATTCTCGCATTACTTTGTCAAGTTCAGCATGGGTCTTAATCTTGTTTTTAACTACCTGAAAAAATATATATTTTACCTTATTAATTTAATTTCAAATATAGAATAACGTGCATTATAGTATTAACAAAAAACAGAACTCCAACAATAAACAAAATCCATACCAGTCAGTAACAAGAGGATCATATTAGAGGGCAATGTACTGTGCTAATTCAGCAAAGCCCCAAATCACGCAATGGTTCAATAAAGTAATAAAACAAAGATAATTTGTTGCCACAGTTTGTTATTTTCTTTGTTCTGGATGAGTTTATTCATACTGTACTGTCCCCGGTAGGCCTAAGAACTTCATTCGCTTGACTGAGGGCAGGGTCTAATACATTCATATCAGCCCAAATAGCTACAGGGAGCCGAAGGGGTTTCCCTCAGAAGTGCGTATCAAAATTTGTGTAATCAATTAAAAAATTAAACTAGACCAATTCTATTATTCAAACTGACCTCTTGGAAAAGTTGATGCACCAGAGATCCAATAAGCATCAACTGGTTACTTGAGTCCATGCCTTTGAAGCGTTCATTCAAGACAGCCTTACGACGACAGAAAACAGCCGACACAACAGAGGTTCCAGAGATAAGGAAGTCTGGGTTGATCACGATGAGGCCCTAATACATTACAAACATTAAAGAATTTATATAATTATTAGAATGGAATATCTACAACTTTCATTTGACTCCTCTGAAAAAACATGAAGTATTCAAAATAATAGCCTTTTCAATAAGTTTTCATTATACATTTGAAACATGTCTAGGTTTTATTAAAGATAACATCATTTCCATGGGATATGAAATGGATGAAGTACAATGAACAGAATATTAAGTTACTTTAGTTAATAATCTTATCCTGAAATCTAAATTGCTGACCAAAAACTAGTAGTATCCAATCGATTTAACAATCTCTTATTTAACGTTACGCCTGTTCTAAAGACCAATTTTTAGATCGTTAACTGGCGCCTTATTTATAGTCATTGGCCGTTAAATCCCGAATACAGAACAGTACAGTATTGAGTTTACAGTCTGGTACGTGTTAAACTGGAGGCCAGTATTAACATGTAACAATGCCTGACACAGTCAGTCAGGCATTAACAGTCAAAGGCAGTTAGGCATTCACAGTTGTGGTAGCAGCCAGTCACAGTTTGTAAATAACATAAGTCAGATGTTGTTTACAGAACACCAACATCATGTACTCTCACAATCCTAATGTACCTATTGTATACAAGTCACCCAGTCATGGAAGTCAGGTTGGTCGGTCAGTCCAGTCAGTCAGTGCAGTTAGGGCAGTCTACCTCCAAGGCCATCATCTAGTAGGAAGGCAGCCAAGAACTTGAACCATATTAATACCGTAAGGGCCATCTACACGTGCCTGGAGGGGAGGGGGGATATATCTGGGAGGGTATGGCATGGGGGGATGGGGAGGGGGGGTAGGATGGAGCTGGTTTGGGGAAGCTGAGTGGATGTGCTGTGACCACAGCCAGTCTGAGATAGTCCACCAGCAACCCAAGCCCATTAAAACCTGCCCACCAGCCTAAACGTATCCCAGTTAACCTGAACCCACCCCAGTCCACCCAACTGCCCGACCCCCCCCCCCCCCAAGCCTGCCCACTTACCCAAGAATGCCCACCCGCCTGAACCCACCCAAGCCCGTCCACCTGCCTGAACCCACCCAAGCCTGCCTGAAGCCACCCAAGCCCACCCACCCAAGACTGCCCGAACCCATCCAAGAACCCCCACTTCCCTAAACCCATCCACCCACCAAAGCCCGCCCACCTACCAAAACCCACCCAAGTCCACCTACCAGCCCACTTGCCTGAACCCACTCAAATACGCCCAGAAAGCCCACCCACCCACCCGAACCCACCTAAGACAGCCCAAACCAACCCAAGCCCACCCAAGTCTGCCCAAATCCACCCACCCACCTGGCCAAACCCAACCAAATCCACCTACCAGCCAGTTAACTATCCAGCCAGCAAACTTGTCTGCCCACCCACCTACCAGTCAATTAACCAGCCAGTTCACCCCACCATCCATCCTATTTCTCTCCCAAATATGACTAAACAGTTAAGAACATTTTAAAACCTCTGGATTTAGCAGACCTTCAGATTTAACGACTTGGGTACAGCACCATATAGGTTGTTAAATCAAGTGGATACTTATTCATTAGTAACAATTTTAAGAAGTCACATTTTGCAGCCAAATAAAATAATGTAGAAGATATGTATTTCTTTGCTTAACATGAAAATCATACACAACAAATTTAAATAAAAAAAATTACCTTAGAATTGTCAACAGTAAAATGTCCATCAACAGGATTTGCAAAGAGAATGTGTACAATATCTCCTTCCGAAACCACACTTTGTGACCTGAAAATTGTTTAACATTAAGCTAAGCACATAACTGTATCAAAACAGCACTTTTTGGGGAAGCCCCTACGGCTCCCCAGACCTATCCAGGCTGATATGGATATTCCTAACTTTGGCATCAGTCAATGTGGGGTGGAGTTCCAGGCCTACCGGGGACCACGAGCCTGTAAGTATCACCCTAGGGGCTTGGGATTTACCTTCCACAAGCCAACTTGGGTCTAAAATGACAGTGTCATTGGTAACATTCACTTGCCTATATATTGTCAGTTTACCGGCTCTGTTCCCTCTCGGTACGCTGTCCTCTTGCAAGGTTTTTCTTTTATTCTTATTTTTGCCTGGTGGGGGAATCTGCCTTGGTGTTCCTTTCCCTTATACTAGGGTTGCTTGTGTTTGGTGGTACCCCCTGCTTCACCCTCGTGAGTGGACATGTCCAAGGGGTTCAGCATTAGCAGTGTTGATTGGTAACTTGGGTGCCAGTTGGCAGTACCCCGCCTGGGTAAACCCTTAGCAGACCTAGGGAAGGATGCCCGTAAGTGCATACAGCCCCAATACAGATGAGACGCCTGGCCATCACACACACAACAACACTGCAACCATAGAGGTCACCACAAAGGCAAAACACCGCTTTGGAATTCGAGGCCAGAGAAGATATCTGCCGTGGACCACATTAGCGAATGAACTGGATTGCCAGGTAGACGGCACAGGGAGATCTGGGGCTCCCCCACCTCTCGGGGAGGGGAGGGCTGTGCGGACAAGTGGTGCGGCAGTGGAGTGTAACGTTTGCATGTTTCCTTGGGACTGGAGGGAGTTCTGCCTCTCTTTTCGATTTTTGGTTGTAGTTTTCTTACCATGTGAGGTTTGTTTTATTATGCTTACCTTTCTGGGTGCCTAACCTCAGTTGATTGCAGATAAGGAAAACCCCCAACTACAAGGGAGGGTTTTCCAGGGCCATTGCTCCCTGCACCTCTGTGAGGGTGGCCAGGTTCCAGCTCGTGGTCCCCAGTAGGCTGAACTCGATAGACTAATGCCCCGGTCTAATGTATCACATATTAGCCCCGATAGCTCCAGGGAGCTGCAGGGGCTTCCCACAGAAAATCCTTTCACACACACACACTTACACCATAAATGCAGGTTATGTATTAAATCAGTTTGACAGCCACACATTTACTGAACTATATTTGATTCTTCATGGAGAAACAGCCTTTAATTATAAGCAAAATCTATTGAATAGAAGGGGCAAATGGAAATATTACAGACCCTGCCCCTAGAGTTAACACAATATTTCTGTATAGTACTCTTACTATGTGGCAGTAGCATAGACTACTTATACTGTGCTATATAACTTCAAGTGCTCTGTCAAATTACATGTATGAAGGTGCTTACAGTAATAAAACAGGCCTTACCAAAATCCACTAAGTGTACATGTTTTGACACTCTTGTCTTGGACAGAAGTAAGCTGAAGCAGAAGCTCCCCCTTATAAGAGTCCCGCTCCACTGCAGTTACTATATGACGTCCAAAGTTTCCCTGCGAGACATAAGAATCCTTGCCCAGGCCTTCATTGAGAAGTTTTTTCACTTGCCTATATATAAAAAATTACATTATAATTTATTTATTCTATAAATTAAGTCATGCAATGTAATGTATATTCCAAGGTTGCAGTAATGGTACTGTACTGTACTTATAAAAAATATATTACATAAAAGATTTAAAAGCAATCCACATATTACTTACTTATTTTGAATTTCTAATGCCTTGTTTTCTTTAATTTGCTGTTTAAATGGAGACATCTTTTCAAAATCCTCAGCTAAGTCATCATCAAACATGTCATGAAAAGTATCCTCAAAAATATCTGATATTTTTGTCTTGGAAGACACTTCATCCAACACGAGATTGTCTTCAACTGACTTATCAACAGTAAAGCCTTGAGAAGACTCATCCCCAAACGGAATGGAATTTCTTTCTAAGGATCTTGTCACATTTTCCTGATTCATGTTTTCCTCGTTACTTCTGAATGCATCTTCTGTATTTTCTTGAATCTGAGATAACATGGAAAAAGCTTCTTCCTTAATTTCCAAAGATGGTTTTCCTGTACCAGTACATGGTTCACCCTTTTGATCCCTCAAAATATCTTTGTCTGATACTTGCAAATGTTTTTTCGGTAATTGATTACAAAATTTTATATTTATATCTTTTATCTTTTCTTGAGAGTTTGTATCAGGTTTCAACATACTAATGCTTCCATCGATCTCTCCAAGCTGAAGCATGATGGAATCTCGATCATTTACTGGAGAACAGCTGTTAAATTTCCCACGTAGATTCAATTTGCAACTGCTAATTTCCTCATCTCCTACCACACATTCTGAACCATTGACTCTTTTGGAATCTGGAGAAACACCTGCTCCAGTAATTGCAGGTCTTTTCACTGACAATGAATTCCTGCTTAACTTCATTTTAGATTCATCAAATGCGTATGAAATCTTAGATTTTTCTGAAATTTTTTTAGATAATAAACTTATATTTACTTTCTTCTTCATTGACAAAGACCCAGGCTTGATGACTGATAATTTAGATATATTAGAGGATTTATGAGACCGCAAGGCAGTGGAATCTATTTTGTGCTTAACACTTAAGTCGGATTTGGAACATAAACTACTATTGGTTAAGTTACATTTGTTATATGCGTCAGGAGTTGCAGGAATGATATCTGGACTCCTTGTGATATTCCTACATGAAATTATACTTATGTTACATTTTTTTACCTCTGGAGTACATTCAATAATATCAAGGTCTGAATCAACAGAAGAATCAAGGCAATTTCTGTCATCTTTTATAGGAGATTCTATTTTATCTGAGACTATACTGGATTTCTGCTCCATTATTTTACAATCTTCATTTTCCGAACATGTGACTGTTGACTTGGAGTACAACGCACTTGAATTTTCTGTTTTATAAGATATATCCTTAGTTGTAAACTTAGTAGAACTACTTCCATCTTTTCCATGACAAATGACCTTTGTTCTCAATGAATCACAAACTCTCAAATGATTACTATCTTTAGTTGGTGCTGTAGTTGCTGAGAAAAATGAGGAAATCTTCATTTGACCATTTTGTTTTGAAAGCTGGAAGAAAGAAAGAAAATAATTTAAAGCAGCTGGCATTTCTAACCCACTGACAAATATGTAATACCCTATACTATACACGAGAACTGGCAAGAAATGAACAACTGTGGATGAACAAGTGGTTATGATTGCCGAGCTTCACTCCAAAACAAATTAAAAATTTTCTTACCCTTGCAGATTAAACAGCATTTTTTGTGGTCAAATAATAAAACACTATTAATAAAAAAAAACAAAAAAAAAACAGCATTGAATGTAATAAAACACTATTTTGAGGGCGAGTCCTGGAGGCTCCCGGAGCTATCCATGGCTGATATGAATACCCTAACTATTTTGCATCAGTCGATGTGGGTGGAGTTCTAGGCCTACTGGGGACCACGAGCCAGAACCTGGTCCCCTCTCGCTGAGGCACGAGGAGCAATGGCCCATAGAAATGCACATGTGATTTGGAGTATTTTATATCTGCCATCGACTGGGACAGGCACCGAGAGCACCGACCGCCTCCTGGATGCATCCCTGTTTTCGTCTTCAGTGAAGTAGCTCCAAGCAGCTGTATAGGCTCCCCACAGAAAACCAGCATTGAATGTAATGAAACGCCATTTTCTGGGTGAGTCCCAGAGGCTCCCCGGCAACCCTCCATCCCTCTGGTCGGCGGTTTTTGCGTTTAAAAAATGAATTAAAAATTTGTCCAATCTATGGACCAACCTAAATTCAAAAGTAAAACCAAAAAGTACCTAATTACCTAATTTCTACCTCACAATTTCCCACTTTGTGCTACCCCACTCACCTAATTTAGTACTTAAAGATACTGTATTCAACTTCATCAATATAATCTATCCTATCAATTTGTAATGTACAAATTACAAACAAATAATGTACAAATATTTATTCAGGTAAAGTACATACATAGATACAAAACGTTGATGGATTTATAGATAGAACTAGTACATACAATGCCTAAAGCCACTATTACGCAATGCATTTCGGGCAGGAAAAACACTAAAACTAAAACGTAATACTAATTGAGATTAAAGTATAAATTGTGTTAAGAAAAAAAATAAAACAAAAAAAGGGGGGGGGGTCCTGGCAGAAAAAATAGTAAAAATACAATTTGGACAACAAACAGCATTGTTTAAAATAGTAGACATGGGTTGACATTTTAGGGGTAAGATAGGTTACATGGAGTTAATTAGGTAGTACTTATTTAATTAGTAATTAGGTAGGTTACAGGGAATTTATTAGGTAGTGCTTCGTTTTTATCTTAAACTGGTTGGGAGAGGTACAGTCTTTAATTAAATTAATTAACATAATTGGGAAGGTCATTAGAGCATTTCTAGTTTGATTAAGTCTTACTCTTGGAAAATCAAATTGGTATTTGTTTCTGGTGTGGTGCTCATTGGTTCTGTTACAACCTTCTAGGAAGCATTTAAGGTCAGGATTGACATTACAGTTCAGCATTTTATATATATAAAATGCACATGAGAGTATGTACAGTGACTTAATATCTAAAATAGAAATACTCTACAAATCAAGGGACCCAGAATGTGGAATGACCTTCCCAACCATGTTAAAGACTACCTCTCTCAACCAGTTTAAGATAAAAACGAAGCACTACCTAATAAATTCCCTGTAACCTACTTTACCCCCTCTATTGTCAACCCATGTCTGGTTTTTTAAACAACGCTGTTTGTCGACCTAATTGTATTAGTGCTGCTTTTTCAGCCATATTCTCCCCTTTCTTATTTTTATTTTTATTTGTTCTCAACACATTTTATACTTTAAACTCAAATTAGTATTAGGTTCTAGTCTTTAATGTCTTTCCTGCCCGAAACGCTTTGCGTAATAGTGGCTTTAGGTATTGCATGTACTAGCTCTATCTATAAATCCATCAACTTTGTATCTTACCTACTATGTATGTACCTTACCTGAATAAAAAATTTAATTTAACATTCAGAGATATAAGAATACAACCCAAGCTACAGACTAACATGAAAACATCTCAACATACCAATGGCTTCCCCTTCAACTTGCCCATATCGCTTGCTCAAAGGAAGCGGAACTCCCACGTTTTATTTCTAACTACATAAATGGCTTCGTTTCTTAATAATATCGCCTCGTGTGCTGCTCCGTCACAACACTAAATACTGTCACATGAACCTGGCGGGAACGTCATGGAGGAAGCAGAATGTTATTGAGAAATAGATATTCGATATTTGCTCTAATTTCAGATTTTTATATCACAGTATAGTTTTATTTATCTAATTTGCTTAAATATAGGTAGAATAATGTGATAATTACACAGAAAGTAATTGTTATTGAATTATATATTTCCATTTATATTCTGGTTTAGGGGTACCGTCAGAGGATGAAACTCCTCTGCTATTGGCTGAACAAAATACTCTAGTAATATTTGACCCAATTAAATGCTAGTCGCATACATCAATACCACAGTATAATAATAATAATAATAATAATAATAATAATAATAATAATAATAATAATAATAATAATAATAATAATAATAATAATAATAATAATAATAATAATAACATGATGGCAATAACAATATACAATAATAACAATAACAAATAAATAGTAATAACAATAACAATGATGGAAAGTTCCTTGGCCTATACTTGGACAAGAGACTAGCTCAACTTCAGCACCCACATACAACACATAACTAAAAAAAGTTTCTAAAACAGTTGGTATACTCTTTAAGATCAGATATTATGTACCCTACTCTGCTTCAAGTTCAAGTTCAAGTTCAAGTTCAAGTATGTTTAATAAGACAAGAAAAAAGATACATCTCAAAGAGATAGAGTAGCTTAGGCTATTTCTACCCCCCCCCCCCCCTCTATTTCAAGTCCCTCAAGGTGCGCACAAATTCAGTGAGTAGATACACAAATCACAATACAACATTTAACATTGCAGATAAATATTGTTACGATATATCGTATTGTGTTATTTCATCGCATAAAGGCACGATTATTTAAGTCATACGTTCATTATTACAGGAAAAACGAGGTTAACAACCATGGAGGTCGTTAACTGTCAGCACGGTATGGCTCGTCCGGTGGCGGGAATTTCTGTTAGCCAATCAGAACCACCGGGCGAGGTAACGTGTGCTGGCCGGAGCATGTGGAGAGAGACATCTACTCGCCTCCATTGAGTCAACAGGCTGTCGTCGCGTTTGGATGTGTGACCAACGGACCCAACTGTTAGTGTGCTCCACTCTCATGAAGGAAGAGGACCTCGAGACATGGTCGACGTTCTTGAAAGTTATGGAAGATAACAGTTTTGAGATTTAGAGGTCGGCGTGGAGGTAACGCGCTGATTTTCCTGATAGCGGTACAAATTGCAGGAAAGTAGATGATTTATAAGTGGGAAGATCAATCGGACAAGAGACGACCGTAGCATGGTCGTAGTATCTCTCTCAAGTTCAAGTATGTTTATTGAGATAAGCAATAAATACATCTCAAAGGGATAGAGTAAATTAGGCTATTTCTACCCCCCTCTACTTCAAGTTCCTCAAGGGGCGCACAAATTCAGTGAGTACAAATAGACATATAACAGTACAAGAATCCCACTTAACATTGCATACAGCAAGTACAGCATATAATTGTTACATTCTTTTGGCAAAAAATGGGATGAATTTTTCACTTCTTTCAATCTTGACTCTACACTCTCGCGAGTCGTGATTTTTCCCACAATACCGACACCTGGGGTCAAACTGGCATTTCCATGCCATATGTCCCCAACGTGAACACTTCATGCACAGTATGGGCTCCTCAACGTATTTTGCAACGTTCCTATAGCCTAGTCCTTGCACAAAAATTTTCTCCGGCGCCTCACCCTTTACCAAGGCAACAACCTGGCTTCGTTTGTCACCACGAACACTGTTTCTCTTCGCCCAGACAACATTATCATTGTTAAGAAGACAGTCAGGATCCAAATAAGTTGGAAACTTGAAAACTATGATCTTTGTGTGCAACATACCTTCTTCTGGAGGAACCATCACTACATTCTCAAAACCAACCGTCGTGAGGCGTTCCACGGCCTGTTCAGTCCCAACTGTTACGTAGGGCCGGTGAAGACCCTCCTTGAAAAGTGGTTCGTATTCCAAACATTGTTTAGCTAGACGTACCGTCCACTCTAGCTTTTGGTGGAAATTCAATTGGCATGTTGTAGGGAACAACAGCCTCTTCCTTCTTGTCTTGTCTTGCTTGTCTTGAGTCTTGCTGAGTAGGGTCTCATTCTTTGGTCTCTTTGCAATCTCATCGTCACTCTCACTGTCTCGCTGTCTGTTATTATTTCTCCGTTTCTTTTTGTTCACTACTACTTCAAACGGTCGATTATCATCTTGTCTGTCCTCCTCACTACCACTTAGGCATACCGCCTCAGCCATTTCTTCGACGCTGTCAATAATCGAGAACAAATGCACAATATCCTGTATCACCACGTGCAAAAACGAAAAGTGTGGGGCAATCCTCCACCTCCCACCAATCAGCGGACGCCAAGAGCGCCAACCTAGCGACCGCACACAACCGTGGTCTGGATACAACTGTATCTCTCTCTCTATATATATATTTAACTGTACTTGTGTACAATGCACACATATATACAATATTTTACATGTATATATATATAAGGTGATTAGAGATATATCACAATATATCCATGATGAAGTTTTATACCATCTTATTTTCTTGTCCTTTGTCAGACCTCAGCACAAAGTGTGTCGAACCTGACAACAGGTCCGGCTGAGGCCGACACATGTTCAGATTCATGTACCCCGTTGTAGTACAACGAAGCATTAGGATAAACATTCAGAATAAACCTAAATTAAATGTGTTGGGTTGTCAACAGTTCGATCCCAACAATATAAATTGAATAAGATAAATATAGTAAGCACAGCATATAAGTGTTACAATCATTGGGGCAAAATTCTTGTAGCTCCTAAGTAGTAATATCCCAGGAACATCAACTAAATTTCGGAGACTTGAGGCAAAGTGAAATTCACACCAATTACTCCCTCTATCATCATTCTATTATGCAGGAAGAACCGCACGTCTATGGGTCATCCAATAATGTTAGCAGACTTCTAGATGCCACCACTGCTAGGCTTAGGCTTGGCTACAAGTACCTCTGGGAGTTTGTAACATCTGCTGATATAGATTTGACTAAATGTAAACTCTGTCAGCAGAACTATTCGCATACTTTGCGTCATTATATAATGGAATGTGAAAAAATCGCGGAATTTAGAGATAACACCATCAATAGTGTCCAAGAAATGTGTAAGTACTTCATTCATAATGATGTGCTGCCCGAAATCTTAGCGAAGTATCCAAAATTTGCTTGCTGTAGGTAATGCATGCACATGACTGTAAAGCTGCCGCCCAGTTGGGTGAGTGTGCAGCAAGACTAGTAACTGTGTGACTCACTATAGATGTAAAGTGCCTCGTATAGTGACTGTTGTGAGCCTCTTGTAATGTCACTTGTGACACCTCTTTGTGTCACTTGTGACACAAAGATTATTGATGTGCAAAGAGCTAGAATCCAGCTCAAAAATCACGCTCAGGAGTCAAATTTCCGACATTTCAGATAATTTGAAAACTGCAGGGGGGTTTGGGCAAAATATGACCCATCGCTGTTTTCAGTAATTGGCATATTTTCGGTATAAAAAGTAGTAATTTGAAGATGAAAATAGGTGCAGAGAGTCAGAATTCGGCTCGAAAATCTCGCCCAGAAGTCAAACTTCCGACATATCATATATTTTGAAAACTGCAGGGGGGGTTTGGGCAAAATGTGACCCTTCGCCGTTTTCAGTAATTGGCATATTTTCGGTATAAAAAGTCGTAATTTGAAAATGAAAATAGATGCAGAGAGTCAGAATTCGGCTCAAAAATCACGCTCAGGAGTCAAATTTCCGACATTTCAGATATTTTGAAAACTGCAGGGGGGTTTGGGCAAAATATGACCCATCGCCGTTTTCAGTAATTGGCATATTTTTGGTGTAAAAAGTCGTAATTTGAAAATGAAAATAGGTGCAGGGAGTGAGAGCAGGTTTGCCAGATTGGGCTACAAGTAGCGAATTCGGCTACTTTTGAGAGCCCCACGCTCCCAAATTTTTAATTTCGCTACTTGCGACTTTTTGGGCTAGTTTAAACGCAAGTTGGGCTACTTTGGGCTATTAATATTAAGAAACTCAATGATGATTATTTATGCTTTAATAATATAATCTGTACAAATCACAGCCGAGTCCAACAGCCCCACTAACAGACAAAACAATTTTACAACCCAGGAAAAGTTTCAAAATGTTCAAGAAAGATGTGATAATTTTTTAGTGAAAGCTTGCAAATAGCTTCTTTCTTGTATTCTAAGTAATGTTGAAACTATAAAAATCTATATAAAGAAAAATCTAAAACTATATAAAGGTTAAAAATCTGTTACCTATCATATGCCTTAGCTTACATGGCCACCATTTTCGGAACTTCCGTTAGTATTAGCTGACCAATCTAAGCTTAGTGAAATTGAAAGTCAGTGGAGCCTACTGTTAACCATTGACTAGTCCAACATTTGTTAGGGACAAATTCCGACATCTGAATCGTCATTTTAGACCAACAAGACAATAACTGTCAAGAGCAATCAATCTTAGCTACCTATGTGCTTTAATATACTGTACCTACAATTTTCTCTCATCTTTTTTTCATTTCATGTAATCTGTTATCATTTTTTGTCTATAATTTTGCAAGTATTTACCTCCTTAAAATTTTCTTAGATTAATGACCTGCCCGAAACGCTGCGCGTGCTAGTGGCTTTACAAGACTGTAATTACCATATTTGTATCCTCACATTCCTTATGTACATTCTTGTATATGCATAAATAAATAAAAATAAAAACAATGCTGGCGATCCCATACTGATTGACCTCGCTGAGTTTGTGTTGAAAATATACAGCTTGCCAATCGGTCATGCCCTGGTTGAACGGATATTTTCGAGAGTAACGTCTGTGAAAACTAAACTGAAATCTTGAATGGGAATGGGACTTGAGCTTTTGACATCAGTCTTGAGAATCAAAACACATCATGAAGAAAAAGTAACTTGTTGCTCGTCATTTGAACCACTCATGTCAATGCTTAAATATGAGTCTGCAATATACAAGAAGGAGGTTGTGGATGCAGATCAAGATCTTGGTAATCTTCAACTGTAAAGACGTGGAAGGACTTCACACCCATTAAGCTTCAAACAGTAAATATTGATAAGTTATCATATTATCATATTGGTTAAATATATATATGCAGATATTGTTAATAAAACAATTAAAATCTTTTAATGTACTCTATATATCATAATAGATTACTTTGAAACCCGTATCAGTCACTAAACAAAAAATTAGGCTACTCTTATTACAAATTCGCTAATTTTAGACCGTCAGTTCGCTACTTTTAGCAATTTGAGTCTAGCAACCCTGCTTTCAGCCATTTGGAGGTGGCAGCGCTGGTGTCAACACGACCCTCACCGCCCCGGCCAGCTGGGGGGCTCACGTTGTGTTGTAAATCACAACAAAGAATACATAAACATGGCGTCTGCATATTTCAGTCACCTATTGCGTAATTATGCAAAACCATTTCTTAATTCGTATATCGCGCAAGTTAGAATTACTTCTGGATTACAGGTAATTATAGAAAGAGTTGTATTATCAGATATACAGGCAATCGGCTATTTGCTGATGATACAACCTTCATTTTCTCATGCTAACCAACTTATTCTAAATGACATGGTGAATACTGAACTTTATTAAGTTCTTTTTGTTGTTGACTGCTAATAAACTTACCCTAACATCGACAAAAACATTTTACATTTTGTTTGACAACACTTCCAACAATCAAATTAAGAATTAATACCCAAATTGTGAGCAGAATAGATAGGACGTCCCTTGGTGTTCACATTGACAACAAACTAAATTTCCATTGCCATATACAAAATATTACTAAAATGGTTTTTAAAACAGTACACATTCTCTCCAAAGTCAGCTACAGTACTATGTTCCTCGCCCTGCCCTAGTTACTCTATTATTCACTCATTTATCCATATTTCATCTATGGTATCTGTGCCTGGCAAAACCACCCCCCTTAATTACCTCTGACCCCTAATTACTGAACAAAAATCAGCAATTAGAACAATCACAAATTCCAGTCCCAGACACCAATATGCTCCCTTATGAAATCCTTGAACATGTTAAATATCTAGTCTCTGCACATACTCTCAAGTGTTCTTTATATATCTATAAAACTCTGAATTGCAATGCCATTCCTGACCTTAAGCGCTTCCTAGAAGGCTGTAATAGAACTCACGGTCACCACACGAGAAACAATTCTCTCTTTGATATCCCTAGAGTGAGACTCAACCAAAGTAGAAATGTTTATTGCCACCAGTGTAGGCATCCTCACTTCTGCTGTTGCTTGGGGCAGTTCATAGATGCAAGGGAGGGAACAGGCTGCAGAGATCAGGACAGGTGTCCCAGGACATCAATGGGATCAGCATGAACCCTAGAATATTTTGTGCATAGTGTGCAGAGTAGAGGCATAGAGGATGACACTGGAGTGTGGAGGCCAGTCTGTGAGCCGGCCCTTAAGTACCACAGGCTGGGAGACGGAGAGACCACCTGCCCTTTCTACCAAGAGAGGAGCTGGTTTTGCTCTTCTTTATTTTTACATCATCATAAATCCTAGCCTCTGTAGGTTTTCCAAATACTGTACAGTACTAAGTGTAGCTATATTATAAGGATACTATTCTATTTCAGGTTAAATGTTGGAATAGTACTACATCTGCAACTTTAGACAGCCCTCTATCCAGTGCTACAGCATCAGAAATTGTGAAATCTGAGAGTGGTAACCAGCTTGTTAAACTTAATAAGGCTATGAAGGCATATCAAGAGAAAGCACAGGCACATGGTAAGACATCATTGCTAACTTCATATTAAACTAATATATTTACTTTAAGAAGCAGATGTTTATCAGAGCTGCTATTAATTGTTGAAAAATAAGGGAAATATTTTATCAGGTAACAAATATTAATTTAATTATAGCAAAATTGCAAAAATCGAATTGTGAAAATGATCTGGGAGCCATTGAACATAAGAGCAACATATGAATGAAGGTAACTGCAGAAGCCCTATTGGCCCATACGAGGCGGCTCCTATTTATGTCCACCCAATCTCATTCATATATGTCTAACCAACACTTGAAACAACCAAAGGATCCTACTACTACTGTATTATGCCCGAAATGCTTTGCGTAATAGTGGCTTTAGGCATTGTATGTACTAGCTCTACCTATAAGTCAACCAATCCTTGTAAAAATTTATTGTATGTATGTACCTTACCTAAATAAAATTGTATTGTATTGTATTGTATTATGTTACGCCCATAATTAGTAGGGATCTGTTCAGGATAAGGGCAGAAATGTATTTGGATTCAAGGCTGTAATCATTATGAGATCCCAGTTCGATTTATCAAGTAAGAGTATGGAAGGAAACTCTGGAAAGTTTTAAGCATACTGTATGTTGGAAAGGTACATTATTAGTGGTTTGATGAAAATGAGCTATCTCATATTGTCCATTAAGCTTTCTGCAGATTATTTAAATTCTATGTAATAACTAAAGTAAAATACAGTACTTTGTACTATATTTTAGATGATTCATAAATTAAGTTTTCATAACTTATAGACATTTCTGGGGGGAGCCCTGTCGGCTCCCTGGAGCTATCCAGGCTGAATGGATATGTATATTTTTCTTGCATCAGTCAATGCATGGAGTTTTTGCCTACCAGGGACCATGAGCCAGAACCTGGCCTCTTACTAATGCAGATGTACATCATGTACTAATAAAAAAAAAAAATAAAGGCACGAGGAGCAATGACCAATAGAGACCCCCTGTGGTTGGGAGCATTCTATGTCTGCCATCAACCGGGACAGGCAACCAGAAAGGTAGGTGCCCCAAAACAAACCCCTATTCTGGTAAAACTATTGCGGCCAAAGGCCGAACAAGTGAACAGAACTCCCCAAACGAAAATTAGTAATCTAGCTTGACATCATGTCATCGCGCCGCTGTCTGCGCACTCCCCCCCCCCCCACCTTCCCTCCCCGGGAGAGAGAAGGGAAAGCCCCAGACCCATCCGCCTGCGATCCAACCTTCAGTTCTTGGCTGATTCTTATGTTTTTGTTTTCTGCCAGGTGGAGGTGGGGGATCTGCCTTTGTGGTCCTCCATTGCTGTTCTTGGGGTATATATATTTATAAATCTATATTTCTGTGTTTGGTGGTCCTCTCTGCTTGGCCCCTGTGAGTGGACATGTCCCTGGAGTTCAGCTTTAGCAGTTTGTTTGGTAGACTTGGGCGTCGGTTTGCAGTACCTTGCCTGGGCTTCCCTTAGCGTGTAACCATGGCTAAGGGCCCTGGGAAACCCCACGGGGGCTATGTGGTCCGATGGATGTGACCCCTGAGTCCCCCCTTGTGTCTTGCGAGTTTGAAGGTTGCTTTGTCCCCTTGTCTCAGGGTGACACTCGCCTGTTTTGCCTTCACCATGCTGCCTGTTGAGTCGATGATTGTTTTGACCCAGAGTCGTGCAATGTGTGTTGTCTGTACGTGCTCCCGTTCACCCAAGCCACTGGTAATGATGTGCGGGTGCAGGCAGCTGCGGTGTTGCATGCTAGGTTTAGGTTGCTACAACGCTCTAGGTTGGTTGCAGGCCCCGGATGCCTCGAGACTGCCCCGTTTGGGTTAAGGGGTCCGGACTTGGGGGTGGGAGTCACTTCGACTCCGGTTCCATCTGCTCCTCCTTGTCCTTCCCCTTCTGTTGTGCATACTTCCTTTCCCTTGCTTCCGGCTCCAAACCGTAGGCGGGTTTTGAGATTGGGGCAGGGTCTGGTTGGGTTGAGACGCGGGGGTTTTCCTCTTCAGGGGTGGCGGCGGAGACATTCGAGCCTGTTCCTCCAGCCGTGCTGTATGGGTCATGATGACATCATGCTAGTTTGCTAATTTTCATTTGGGGAGTTCTGTCCACTTGTTCGGCTTTCGGTTGTAATAGTTTTACCAGAATAAGGGTTAGTTTTGGGGCGCCTACCTTTCTGGGTGCGTGTCCTGGTCGATGGTAGACATAGAATGCTCCCAACCACAGGGGGGTCTCTATAGGCCTTTACTCCTCGTGCCTCTCTAGAGGGGGGGCCAGGTTCTGGCTCGTGGTCCCCGGTAGGCAAGAACTTCATGCATTGACTGATGCCAGAAAGATATACATATCCATTCAGCCTGGATAGCTCTGGGGAGCCTCCGGGACTCACCCAGAAAATGGTATTTCATTACATTCAACGCTGGTTTTTTACACAGATGCATTTATGTTCAACCAAATTGGAGAGTATGAAATTGGTCGTCGCCACCTTGCTAACATGATGGGGGAAGATCCTGAAACATTCACTGATGAGGATGTTGATGTAAGTGCCTTATAACTGTTCAGGTCAGCTTACATAGTGGAGAGAGTTCTAATGTACTGTATCATGAGTAATGCATTTAGAGTGGATAGAGTTTTAACGTTTGGGATATTTTTTAGTGAAGATTATGCTTTATGTCAGAGATTTTCAACCTTTTTCAATTTGTGGCACATTGAACAAGGTGCTGAAATTAAGATGCTATATTTTCTGTGGGAAGCCCTGCCGGCTCCCTGAAGCTATCCAAACTGATATGTGCTATATTAGTTAGGGGTTATCAGCCACAGTCCTTATGCCTACCAGGAACCATGAGCCAGAACTTGGTCCCCTCAAGAAAGACACAGGGAACAATGGCCTATGAGCACTTTACATTTAAAGTATGTCATAATTGCCATCGACTGGGGAAGGACCCAGAAAGGTAGGCGAATCAAAACAGACCACTGTGTGATTAATCTGTGCAATCTACATTCCAAAAGATCAAAATAACTTCCCTAGAAAGAAACCAAGCAAGTGAACCTTCATGCAACTAGCACTTCTGCTCGTTAGCGTTACCCACTTCCCCCATAGGGGGAGGGGGGAGCCTACTCACCGGAGCCAGCAGCCCACTGTGGTCGATGACAGAATATGACATACAGTACTTTAAATGTAAAGTGCTCATACGCCATTGCTCTCTGCACCTCTCTGAGGGGGCCAGGTTCTGGCTTGTGATCCCCAGTAGGTAAAAGAACTCCTGTGACTGATGACCCAAACTAATAAAGCACTATATCAGTTCGGATAACTTCAGGGAGCCTCCTGGGCTTCACCCAGAAAATGATGTTTCATTACATTCAATGCTGGATTTTTCTTTGTCTTTCATAAAAGGTGGCCTCCTCTGCTGATGCACCTCAGGGAATTATCTAGGGCAGCTACTGAGGAAATCCTTCCAGAAATCAAGCATTGAATGGAAGGAAACACCCTTTTCTGGTGGCCACTAAATTGCTCCCTGGTCTGTTCCTTTCCTGTAGTAGTTTGGGCTGATGGGGAGCCAGGGTGGCTTGGACCACCATCTGGTAATTGTCAGATGCTTCACAGATGGATTATTTTCCCTACAGCAGCAATTGTTTGTGTTGTTTTTCTTGGTCACAAATTCTTTCAAGCTAGGGGGAAACTACTAAGTTTCCCACTAGGAAAGGGCTGTTCATTTCAGTTAAAGTTTGATCTTTGATGTCTCATCAAATGGTACATTTTGGGGTGTTGATTAAGCTTTGTTCTCCACTATCTCTCCATCCCTAAACTATATGACAAGGTTATTTGAAAAGTTAATTGTAACTGAGGGGCAAATGAGCAGTATACTGGATAGATCCTGGCCCTGACTAGGAAAGTAACTGAGGGGAGCTGCTCAGAAAGGGAAATTTTATTCCACTCAATGTTATATTTTTTATTTCAGAAAGCTATTCAATACCTGTTGCCATCTGGATTATTTGAACCACATGCTCGTCCAATGATGAAGCATCCCACTGAGGTTTTTGCAAAGAAAAAGCTTGCAGAATTTGATGAAAATGGGCGTCCATTCCATCCCCTCTTTTACACAGCATATCCTGAATATTACCAAGTTTTGCATGTAAGTTTATTTTAAGACTACATAGTGTGTAGTTTTTAAATGGTTTTACTATTACTTTCTGGTACTACAAACACACCAATAACACTACCATGCCTCCGGATGTACACAGGCCTACCGTGAACCATAATAAGACTGGTGTGCTCACAGAGGCCATTGCTGCACCTTATATGAGATGATTTGTGTGTGAGGGTTTGAAGGTATGAAAGGAAAGGTGCAGAAGGGCATTGATTTTTATGAATGAACCATGACAGTAATTCTGGATTAGATTGAATAATCTCTGGTGACACTAGCACCATTATGAACCTGCAGGAAATATTTTTAATTTTTTTTTGGTGTCCCTGTAACAGTGTGTTGTCTTGTAAGATTATAAGTTGCTTTCCTTCAGACATAGTGGACCTTACCTTTGAGAGCGGCTGAATCATCCACTTTTAAAGGAGCTTAATTTATATAACTCAAAGCCTAATTATAATATAATTTTAAATTGGTAGTAAGCTCACTAAATGCTATTTTCATTCAGGACGTAAGTGAGAAAGTACAAGAGTTGGAGCGCTTCTCTGACCGAATGATGCAAGTCAACATACATCAAGATCAGGAGAGAGCACTGTGAGTATAATAGCTATATGAATCATAATTTACAACTTTTAATGTTTAGTATAATTATTGTTACATGGAATTTACTTGATAAAATGATTTTATAAGTCAAGATTAAAATATTTGCAAATGTTCTTTTCTTTGCATTGCATTTATTTCGTTGCCGGGCGAAAGTGTTATCACTTTCGTCCGGCGAGGACTCAGCATTGAGTCTTCCGTGCGGCAACAGTAGCGGCGTTTTCGGGAAGGTCTTGCTGCGATTTTGGACATTATATGCATATACTCTTGTAGGGAATTTCATTGCGAATACATTGATACCAAAATGAAAGCCCTAGGACCAGAACTGAGGTAACAAAGTTGAATACAGAATACCCGTTTGACAGTTATGATTTATCAGAATCTAGTGTGACACAAAGTATTGGCTGGTATCAGAATTTAGCATCAGGAAGCTACTGAAGGCCCCACTAGAAAAGGGCATTTCATTACATTCAATGTTGGATTTTTTGTTCTGGCAGTATTTCTGGGAAGGGTTAGTAATATAGACGAACTGGTTTTAATGATGACTTGACCAAATCATTACAAAACTGAAATGTTTGATATAGTAATACAGTACCAGCTGTTATCCAGTATAACGATTAATAGTCATGTTAAAAATTTAATTTTCTCTCTTTCTAGAGACTTTAAGGGTTCAGAATGGGTTACAAAAGAGCACCTTGAAGGTATCCTGGTGGAAAATTTGAAAGATGAACAAGTAAGTATTCAGTAAGAGTGTGCAGTCTTTTAGTGAGATTCATCTTCCTAAACAGAGAAAATGCATTCTGTCTCAGTCATCATACCATAACCTAGGTTATTAACATCTTTCTCTTAGCAATCAAAAATATCCTGGCTGTCCATCATTTGCCTTGTTTTCCTCATTTTGATTTTGTTTTAAAGTAGTAGTTTGTTTTGTTTCATTTATCCTTTTTGATTGGTTTCCTCAGTTTTAGATAGTTATCTGATCCCCATGCTTCCCTTGTAGAGTGAACCAAATTCTTGTCCTGATTAACAGTAGATCAACGAATGTTTCAGAGGTCTAGCATGAGCTTCAGGCTTAGTGATACCAGCACACAACCACTAGGAAGCTACTGAGGGCCTACCAGAAAAGGGAGTTTCATTACATATATCACTTGATTAATGCTAAGTATACTGTATACATGAATTTTAGTAAATTTGTTGAAGAAGTAAGCAATATTTCAATTTTTTTCAGTATGAATTCTTCATCAGATCGATGAATCGTCTTGTGGATCATCCATACTCTTACAGAGCTAAGGATTTCATCATGAAGTACAGAAAGGATGTACCATCAACAATTAAACATAAAGATATACCAAAGGTAGGTAATTGCACTCATATAAGAGAAATGCCTGTAACCAGGAATACAAAGTGTTTTCTGTTAGTGTCAATGCTGACACAGAAGGCAGTTTGGGAATGAAGCTCCATCCATGGGTAATTCTAAAAATTAGAACTTGAAATGGTGTAAATGTTGCAGATACTCTAATGCCACTCTTGAGTTTTGTAACTCACTTTCTTCCAGTAAAACAGTAATATGCTGGTGCATGTAATTACCTAAATGGTAGCTAAAGGATGAGAGCTATGCTCGTGGTGTCCTGTCTTCCCAGCACTCTTTGTCATATAATTTGAAATTACTGACGGTTTTAGCCTTCACCATCTTCTCACCTAACTTGTTCCAGCCGTCTGCCACTCTGTGAACGTGAATTTTCTTATATTCCTTCGGCAGCTTTGTTTACTTAGTTTAAATTTATGACCTCTTGTTCTTGAAGTTCCAGGTCTCAGGAATTCTTCCCTATCAATTCTATCGATTCCCACTACTATTTTGTACGTATTTTGTACGTGGAAATCATATTGCCTCTTTTTTTTCTTTTATTTTCTAGTTTTGGCATTTTTAATGCCTCTAACCTCTCCTTGTAGCTCTTATCTTTCAGTTCTGGGAGCCACTTAGTAGCATGTCTTTGCACCTTTTCTAGTTTTTGATATGCTTCTTGAAATGTGAGTATCATACAACCACTGCATATTCCAGCTTTGGTCTAACAAAAGTCATGAACATTTCTTTAGTATTTCGCCATCCATGTATTTAAAAGCAATTCTGAAGTTAGAAAGTGTAGCATAGGCTCCTCGCACAATGTTCTTTATGTGGTCCGCAAGTGATAATTTTCTATCTAGACCTACCTCTAGATCTCTTTATTAGAATTCTTTAAAGATTTCTCACATTATTTATAGGTTGTTCTCACATTATTTATAGGTTGTGTGGGGTCTATGTTCTCCTATTCCACAACATGGCATTCATTCACATTAAATTTCATTTGCCAAGTGGTGCTCCATACATTTTTGTCCAGGTCCTCTTGAAGGGCATGACAATCATTAAAGTTTATCTTCCCTATTCCGGTGCCGCTTTGATGGGATGTACTGCTTGAACGTAAGTCGTTCCTTGAAGAGGACTAGCGATTCATCACTCAACATTCTGTCCTGGTACAAAATAGTCACGGAACTTTCCTCTCATATCACTAAAAATCTTCTGTTTTGGTTCAAAAATGGTTCTGTTTTACATTTGTTTGCTATCTCTTTCTCAAAATTTTTTTCTGCCTCCTCACTGTCATATACAGTACAGTAGTTGTTTCTAGCATCTTTGTATCACTGGTATGTTTGGGGGTTTGGCCTCTTCCTATATTGATTCTATTTTTGAGTCTTGGTCTCTGGCCTTCTTGCAATTTCTGCAGAACCAATCCTGTTTCTTGGTTCTGCATCTCTGCTTTGGTATAATTTTTTTTTTTTTTTTCTTTTATCATATATTTCACAAAACTTTACATACATCTCATTTATTTTCTTGTCTTTCCAGTCAAATTACTAAACAAATTTCTAAGTTCCCCATAATCTCCTCTCCTGAAATCAGGTTTTTAAACTGCTTCGTCTTCCTCATTTTCTTCCAGTTTATAATGCATTGCATACTTTATTCCCAAAAAGACATCGTTGATTTATCCAAACCTTTTACCTTGGGTTTTACTCAAGGGAAAAAGGTACTGAATGTCAAATATCTCTTTCTTCTTCCTTTCCTTTCACTAATCCTTCAAGATCAAAGACCTTGCTACTCAAATGGTCATTATTTTCTCTCAATTTACTTATTTCAACATGATAGTTCACAATAATGCCTAATTTTCCCAGCTTGCTGTGTAGACTGCTTATTCATTGATTTCCTCAATGAATCCTCGAAAATCTAGCTGTTTTGTTTTCTTCTTGCTGGTGGCCATCTTGAATTTCATCATCTGGACTGTTAACACTAAGGCAACTTTTTCTCATCCAATTTGTGGCATGTGCGACTGCCAAGGTGACAATGGTGATCATGGAATGGTTTTAATATTTGTGCCACTGTTTGAATATAATTGTTTGAGTAAAAATCAATAATAAAGGTTATTTTTTTCTTTCAGCTAATGTTTACTTCAGAAGGAACACCTTACATGGTAGCCAGAGGTAAAAGGAAGTGGGGTGTTGCAAATGTGACTGTTTATGGAAGAGGCTCTGGAAAGATATCTATCAATGGTGAAGATATTCTCTATTTTAAAAATATTCAGGATCGAGAGCAGGTTGGTGTTATATATTACAATTATGCTTTAAGCACTGATATTAAATATTTTATCTACTATCTTATACTTAATCTGCCTCTTTTTGTCATCTAAAATGCTTATAGCAAGTCATAATTGGTAATAACTTGCTTGTAATCATAATTTAAACATGAATATTCTCTATCTTATTGCTGTACACATTACATAACATTGTGGAGGATAATTCTTCATACTTTTAAATTTAACTATAAATCATATGCATAATTCAGAGGTGTTGCTTCAAATATATTGATTAATTTTTGGGTAATTTTTAACTTTAAATTCTTCTTTATTGCAGATTATATTCCCACTACAGTTTACTGGATTGATAGGGAAAGTTGATGTTGTAGCTGATGTTGAGGGAGGTGGAACAACTGGACAGTCAGGGGCTATACGTTATGCTATATCATTGGCCCTGCGATCTTTTGTTGATGAAGATATGGTGGAGAAAATGAGACTAGGTTGGTGTTTTTCATGTCAATCAATTGTTTTTATAAAATGTGTAAAAATTACAACACAAACATTCTTCATTCAATATTTACATATCTCATTCTTAGCTAGGTAAGAATGTACAGTAAATGTGTAGTTGTTTTAAAAAATATTTTAAAGAATAGTATTCTTGAGATGATTGTGGTAACAGTAAGGAACACAAGCAAAATCATAACATCTTAAAGGTATATGAACAAGTAGCTCAAGTCTCCTCTCAAGGATGAATATAATGTAGGCTTAATGAGAGCCTTAGTAATGAACCAGCATAGATGGAATTATGAACAATGCAGCTGAACTCAAGGAACGAACAAATGAGGACAATTGGGATGCAGTTACACTTACAGAAAAGATAACAAGATGCAGTCATATAGTGTTATCAAGATAAGTGCGCAGTGATAAAAGCATCTGAGAATAGGAGATGCTTTTTCACCCACAGGGTTATAAACCTATGGAACCGCCTACCCGCCAAAGTCATAAATACCAAAGCTTTTAACATTTAAATGCAGCCTGGAAGAGGCACCGCCGTAGGCAAACGACCGATTCTTTTCTTTTCTTTCGGAAAGCGAGTGCGGTGGCCCGAAGGGCCATCCGTACGGCTAACGTGAATGTTGGGCATCTTATATCTCAAGAATTACGTCCGAAACCCCTCTGACCCAGATCTGGAAGCGTATCCGCAAGATAGCGGGTAAATTCGTTCCCGATGTTTCACCGGTCCTTCACCTCCATGATACTCTTGTGGCGGACCCGTTGCAGGTCGCTTCCGTACTGGGTTCCCACTTTTCTTCTGTTAGCTCTGGTCTTCATCTTCCCCAATCTTTTCTTCTTCGTAAACCTGTCCTTGAGTCTCGTCCTTTAGATTTCTGCACTCGTCTTCAACTTCCCTATAATGATCCCTTCTCTCTCTCTGAACTTCGTTCTGCCCTGGCCCTCTGCGGTTCTACGGCGGCGGGCTCCGATGGTATTCATTATGAGATGCTTCGCCATCTCCCTCCGTGCACGTCTCAGTATTTACTGAGTCTGTATAATCGGATCTGGGAGTCGTCGTCAGTCCCTGAGGACTGGCTCGATGCCGTTGTCCTCCCTGTTCGCAAACCGGGGTCTCTGGGTACTTCCCCTAAGGACTTTCGCCCTATTGCTCTCACAAGTTGTGTCTGCAAACTCTTTGAACGTATGGTTAACGTTCGTCTGATGTGGTTCCTGGAACACCATCACCTCCTCTCCCCTTCTCAATTTGGTTTCCGCAAGTGCCGCAGCACGACAGATGTCCTGGTGAACTTGGAGGTCTATATTCGTACTGCTTTTGCTGCGAAGACCTCCGTTGTTGCCGTCCTTTTTGACCTGGAAAAGGCTTACGACACCACTTGGCGATATCATATTCTATCTCAACTTCATTCTTTTGGCCTTCGTAGTCATCTCCCTCTCTTTCTCTGCAGCTTCCTCTCTCGTCGTTCCTTTCGGGTGCGCCTTGGTAGTGTTCTGGCGCCTCTCTCTGCCTCTTTTCAGCAATACAAAGGTGTGCCCCAGGGTAGTGTTCTGAGCACTACTCTTTTTCTGGTTGCCCTCAATGGTCTTCTTTCCTCTCTTCCTTCTGGTGTCTTCCCCGCTCTCTATGTCGATGATCTTACCCTTTGCTGTCAGGGTGATGATTCGCCTCTCCTTCAGCGCCGGCTTCAACTTGCAATTGATGCCGTGTCGTCTTGGGCCACCGATCATGGCTTCAAGTTCTCTACTTCTAAGACTTGTGCCATGACTTTTACGCGGAAACGGGTTGTTCTTCGTCACTTTATGGTCATCCCCTTGAATACAAAGATTCCGCGAAGCTTTTGGGGTTATTCCTTGACACTCGTTTGTCTTGGTCTCCCCATATCTCTTACCTCCGTGTTGAGTGCTCTAAGGCCCTTACCCTCCTTCGGGTCTTGTCCCATACTTCTTGGGGGGCAGATAGGTGCACTCTCCTTGCTTTACATTCCTCTCTTGTCCTGTCTAAGCTCGATTATGGTTGCCCTGCTTACTCGTCTGCTTCTCCTTCTACTCTTCGCCGTCTTGATGCTTTGCACCATACTGGGTTGCGCCTCAGTTCTGGTGCCTTTCGTTCGACTCGCGTCCTTAGCTTGTATGTTGACACTGGCTTTCTGTCTCTCCAGGACCGCCGTGATTGCTACTGTCTTCGCTATCTTGCGCGGTCCTTACAACATCCTTCCTCTCGCCTCTGTCGTGCTTTAACTTTTACCCCTCCTGCGGTTCCTGTTCCTCTTCACCACCTCCCTCTTTCTGTCCGGTTATCTCGCCTCCAGGATTCACTTTCCGTTCGTATTTCTAATGTTTCTCCTCGTGTTGTTCCTTCTTTGCCCCCGTGGAGAGTCCCTCTTCCGTGGTTTTGTACTTCCTTGACCCGTATCACTAAAGCTTTTACCCCTCCTACGGTTCTAAAACGCCTTTTCCTTGAGCACTTTTCTTCTCACTCCCGCTCCGTTTCTGTCTTCACCGATGGGTCTAAGTCGGCGGACGGTGTTGGCTACTCTGTTGCTTTTCCTGATCGCACTTATATGTGTCGCTTACCTCCGGAGACTAGCATCTTTACAGCGTTACTTTATGCTATTCTCTATGCTCTTCGTCTCCTGCTTTCTCGTTGTCAGTCTTCCTTTGTAGTTGTTGTTGACTCTCGTAGTGCCCTCATGGCTCTCGGGTCCTTTAATCCAGTCCATCCAGTAGTTGTCGAGATCCAGCATTGGCTGTTTCTTGTTCACAGTAAATTTAAGTCGGTTGAGTTTTGTTGGGTTCCCAGCCATATTGGTGTGTCTTTAAATGAGCGTGCGGATGCTGCCACCAAGGAAGCTGTCCGCTCTTGTCCCATCTCTCGTAAAGGCATTCCGTATTCCGACTTTTACCCGGTTATCCATTCCTCGGTCCTTACCCGTTGGCAGGCTTCTTGGTTGTCTGTTACTGGTAACAAGCTACGTACTCTTAAATGTTGTGTTTCCTCGTGGCCATCCTCCTTCCACCGTAACCGGCGGTGGGAAACAGCTCTGGCGAGGTTGCGTATTGGCCATACTCGCTTAACCCATGGTCACTTGATGGAGCGCCACCCTGCTCCTTATTGTCCTAGTTGCATTGTCCCTCTTACGGGCGTGCATGTCCTGACTTCCAGGACGAGCGTGTGTCTTGCTTTCCGACTGCCCCTCGCGGTCACCTGTCCCTCGATAGAATTCTTGGTGACTCGGATACTTTTGATATCGTTCGCCTTATGCGTTTTTGTTCTCGTATTGGCATCCTTGGTGATATTTAGCGCCCTCTGATTATTTTGCGTATTTGATGGTGCTACATAGCCTTCCCGGTTTGGTGCCTTCTTTTGATAATTACTTACTTGTGCAATAGAACCAGACTTAGTTATGCAGTGGTATGTCTTGATAGGAACTACTGTATATTAATAAAGAAATTAGGATGAGTTTTTGTGAAATACTTATAGTATGAAAGGACCTAGTCCTACTTGATGGATGGTATCACACTAGATTTGTGAAAGACATATTGCATGTTATTTTACATTATAAAATAATTACATGCATGTATATTGGTTTTCCAGCTGGACTCATCACTTTTGACCCTAGAAGACGTGAGAGGAAGAAGCCTGGATGGAAAGGAGCCAGGGCAAAGTATACCTGGAAAAAGCGTTAAAAATCATAGTGCAATACTCTTAAACTGTGCAGGTCTTGATTTAAAATTCTTATAAGTTGTACAGTACTGAATGTGGTTTAATAAATATAAACTCACAATCATATGTTTTCAAATTTTTACCTGGCAAAAAAAAAAAAATTAGAATGACACAAACCATGTTTAAAATAAGTTTGTCCTTCGTATAAATATCTTATAAGCAGGCTATAAAGAAAATAAACTGTAAATATTTCCTCTCCATGGGCACTGCTATGCCATGGAATTTTGCTAATTCCACTGATGCAGGGAAACCGGCAATCACCACCAATTATGCCTAAATGATTGATCATGTTTTTTCCTAATGGTATGCCATCTGGATCACCACTAGTTAATAATTGTACCAGTATCCTCAATATTGGTACTTGTTCAACCTGTCCTACAAAAAATGCTGTATTTTGATCGTGTGTGGTATACAAGGCCAAACGTTGTTGTACTAGAAAATCGAAGCGGCTGGCTCGTGAAAGTGATGTAATGTCCCCGTTTGTTTTGGGTCCTCTGGTAAGTTAGATGACTTTAAATTGACACTTTTTTCTTGATGTTGGGAAACCTTAGGATGGGCTGATAAGCTTTAGCCATGTCTCTAACATTTTACTTCAAGCATAAGTAAATGTGTCATCTTAGCTTGTATTAGCTTCTATTTGTGAAAAATCAGAGTACCATGAACATTTGTGTATTTACAATTGAGCCACTATAACAAAATCCTACTTGCATGTTCCACATTACTACAGAATACATTAAAATTCTTATATTGTACCATCCTTTTACTGTACAAGTCAGGCTCAGTACTCGAGACATTATTATTATTGTTGATGCATGTCGTTTCTTACAAGGTTAAAGGGCAGGGGCCAGATTTGCAAGTACTTACAAATGTATACATCTTTCCTCAATCTTTGACGGCTTTGGTTACATTTATTAAACAGTTTACAAGCATGAAAACTTCCCAATCAATTGTTATTGTTATAAACAGCCTCCTGGTGCTTCGGAGCTCATTTACTGTTTAATAATTGTAAACAAAGCTGCCATAGGTTGAGAAAAGACGAACAGGTTCGTAAGCGCAACTGTTTCGTGAATATGGGCCCAGGTCTAGCTAGAGACCACTCATCTGCCACAGTCCACGTGGCCTGTATGCCGTGCCCCGAGAGAAATTGTCAGATCTGTGAGTGGATTATTATACTGTAGCTTTGTGTAGTTTCTCTCAGTGCAATTCAGTGCTTTTGGAACAAGAATAGAATTCTAATTTGTCTTAAGTTTCCTAAAAAATTTTTAGTAGGAAAAGAAAGAATACTTTTTTTTTTTTTTTTTTTTACTAACATTACACTAGAAAAGTAAAATAAAATCCAGTACAGTATATAGAATATTAAAATTCATCCAAGTAAGAGCCTGACAAATGTTTTTAAATACTGTACAGTATAAATTAACCCATACTGAAAATTTTTGGTCTAACTAAACAATTGTCAGGCTCTGGGGATATGGTTAAACTTCCCTCTGAAAAGTAGGACATCCAAATTTAAACATCTAGCTGTAAGCCTTCATAATATTGACTGTCCTACTTTTTCCGTAGGAATACACCACACCCAGTTTTTCATCTTATGGAGTGCAGGATGGGGCCAAAACAACATCTTGCCTTCATGAAAATATAAAACTAAAAAGACTTACAATCTGAAAATTACCACACTGCCACTTTTTGTACTAATTTGGTGCCATTCTTCTATTTTTTCTTGAAAGCATCTTCTGATAACACTCCTTTGGCAATGAATACCTCTCTCATGATCTTCTTAAGGTAAGTAAGCTCTTGTTTCAAATTTGAATACTTTGCCTTCAGGAGCTTCTGTCTGTCTTCCTCAGCCTTTATTTGTGACATCAGTTCATCATCCTCCTGTTTTTTCTTCTGTCTGTATTTGAGAGCTGCTTGCTTGTTTTGTTCTTTCTTTCGTTCTCGTCTATTCTCTGGATATGGTATACTTCGAAGTGATGAGGTTTTGCGCGAAACTTTGCTTTTTCGTGGTGAACTTGAGCAAGAATGTTCGTCTGTCTGAATCCACTCAACAAAGTTTTCCTCACTATGTGATGGAGAACTTCTTTGAGTATTTTTGTTACATTTTGGAGATGAGAGAGAATGGAAGAGAGAATCATTACAGGATCGTTCTGGAGTAAGGCTACCAGTTGACGGCACTGGTGAAGGGATTGATACAGGTGATGCAGGTTCTGAACCCCAGGAAGAAACATCAGAACACTCCAAATCGGTACTACCGGATTCTAATTGTGAAAGTAAATCATCCATGTCGGCTTCAACCATGGAGGAATCTAAGGATGTGTTCATAGTAATAAAACCATTACTGTCTGTTTTATTTTCCATCATCTGAACCACTTCATTGATCAAGTCTTCAGCATCACAAATACTGGTAGCAGCATTAAGGGGAGAGGTCGATTGCATATGCTGTGAGTTGTTTGTGCTTGGAATGTAGGATGACTGTGAAGTGGGCAAAACTTTACACGGTAAGTGTAGATAATCATTAGTATTTATCGTAGGTGTACATACAGCCACCTTTTTCATACGGATGATAATCTTTGGAGTTGTTGATGTTAGAGATTTGGGGTTGATCGAGAGACCCTCTTGGGTGCTTGTCTGTGGCGGCAATTCTGAGAGGGGTACAAGCATATCTTCTGGTTTAATGAACATATCTTCTGGTTTAATAAGCATATCTTCTGGTTTAATAAGTGTACTAAAATTATAATCATCCACATTGCCAGCCACATCAAGATCTTGAAATGAGATGTCATTTTCCAAATTCTGGGAAAATGCAACATCATCAAACAGCTTTATGTTGGCAAGACCCAAGTTCTCTCTGCTCTCCATCCAATCTGGGAGGGCTGGAAGTAAGAAGAAACATTTTATATTACCATTACAAAATCAGAGACCAGTTCGATACTAAAATTATGGTCGTTCACAAGGAATGCTATAAGAAACAGTATGCTAATACCAAATAAAACTAAAGTATGTAATCTATAATCTAACCATTGCAAATTGATATGTAACAAACTTTATCAAACATGATGACTTCAACTTGCTTAGTCTCAGATGGAGAATAGCAAACAATAATAATATATCAGGAAATTTATCGGGACCTAACCAACCACAGATTAGAGAACTACTTTGATTGTGACAAATTTTCACTCAACCAGCAGATATCAGAGCCAACGAGAAATGAAAATATTCTAGATCTGGTCTTTACGAACAATGAAGACATTATCAGGGACATTACGATATCAGATACCACATACTCAGATCACAAGCTCATTGAAGTGCAAACGACCATCAATACTCAGAATAGACCTAAAACGTTGATCAAGCGAGAGGGGTTATTCAGAAAATTCAATTTTAATAAAAGGATAGACTGGGAGAAAATAAACAGGGAACTTACAAACATTCCATGGGAAATTGTTTTAAGTAATACTAGTCCTACAGAAGGGATAGAAAAACTGACTTCGGATGTGTATCAAGTCTGAAACATGTTCCTTTGAGGAAAGCCAGAAAGAGATCCAACGTAGAAAGAGAACGCAGACGACACTATAAAAGGAAAAAATAATGGAAATGCTTAAGCAGACACGACTTTCCCGTCAAAGAAGGAGGTGATGACAAATGGCTCAAAAACTGAACTCAAACAATCTAAGGCAGGCAGGTCATTGACTACCTGGGAGAGATGGATTCCCCTGAATGGGAGGATGGTGACAATGTACAACATGTGCTGAACTAGTCACCAAAGAAGAGCCAGCTGGACCAGACCAGAGCTGGACCAGCGGCACAGGTAATCCCAACAATTCCAGTCCATGGGAAAACCATTCACTGCAAGCTCCCTGCAAGTGGAACTGTGTGACCAGGCCACACGTCTCATATCCAAAGAAAAAAATCCCTGTTTAACTTCTATTACATTGAAACTGGACAGAACCTCAAGACTGTATCTGCTAGACAGGGGGGTCTCCAAATTACATTCCATGGGTCACACCTGGCCCACTACAAGATTTTATCTGACCTGCAGCAACTTTAATAAAATTTATTTTCCCCCTTCCCAAAATCAGTGCAAACTATCAGGTAAAAGCACACACAACTCTTAGCAAACACTTGTGAAACAAAATAAACACACAGCATTTCCATACAACAGATCCTTGGGTGTTTTTTTACCATTTATTATAAGGTTGACCTTAAAGCACCAAGCTACCCTCATCTCCATGACCACGACATAAATTTGGTCCTGATGTTCAATAGGCCTGTGCCAGTCCAGAACCTGGCAGTTTTATGGCATCAGAGCCAATGCACTAGGGAGGGAGGGAATTATCAGGGGAAAGTGCCAAGCCATTACAACTACCGTATATAGCATTTGGGAGGGGTCAGGATAAGGATTTGGAATGGGACGGGGGAAAAGGAATGGTGCCCAACCACTTGGACGGTCGGGGATTGAACGCCGACAAAAATAAATGTGAACAGAGGGCTACACATGAGTGGTAGTAATAACATGTACAGTTGAGAGAATGTATAAACATGAAAAAACCAAGAGTTGGAGCAGTAGAAATGGATAATAGGAGAAAAATGTCATTGAGAACTGTGGATTGAAGAACTCAATAAACTGAATGGTTGAGGGAAGCACACCGAGATTATTCAGGCACTATACGTTGAGCAGATGACAATGGTAAACTGGTGAAGATTTACAGAGTAACAGAAGGCTGTAAAGGAAGTGGGTGGGTATGGTTGTGCAAGTGAGAGGTAGTTTGAAAAATGCATAGGAACAAGACTGGGTGGAAACAGTTTGTAGAAGTGAATGTAGGATTCACAGTTGTGAATATGACGATTCACAATGCGCAACTATAAACCTTGTCATATGAAGCAGTGGAGTAATGCTGTGGATGAGTAGTTGGTTGGTTGGGCTTGTTTATCCATGATGTTATGATGTTGATATAGACAACAATGATTTATTTAATATGGTACTTATAATCTTTCATTATACTGCATTCTTTATTTTTCTCCAGACTTATGCCTCCCCCACTCCATGAAAGCGAGAAAAAGTTAATTTATATATGAAATTGATTTGATTAAGCTAATGTATGCTTCTAAAACTCACCAAATATGGCATCGTCACAGCTGGGATCTAATGTGGCAGTAGGTAGGTAAGATGTTGCTTTGGCCCCCAAGGAAAAATCCTGATCACACTCCAAAGGCCATGAGGCCAGACTGGCCATCCTGCTGTACTCCATGGCTATATATATCTCTTCTTTTTATCAATATAAAACTCCTTGGTGAGATCACCAATGTAATTAAAGAAAGCCTGCAATAAAACAAGAGTAATTAATAATACATCATAACAGGTAGAGAATATTGGATACAAGTGCAGCCTTAAACTTTACTAGTCTAGCAGAGCAATCTATTCATACACACTGATTCAGTATACTGTATCTATACAGTATTGTACTAGAAACAAACAAGTTTTCTAGTTAATGTCATTTAAGTATACAGTACTGCATAATGTATAAATATAATCAATACAGGTTTAAATATTATTTCTGCTACTTGTGTAAATGATATCTTTAAATAGTACTTAATTTGAAAACAAAAGAGCTACACATTCAATCTTCAATTATGTTTATATAGAATGGGAATAAAGCTATATTACACAAGGAAAATGAGAATGAAATCCAGAAAGGTCATGGAAACACATGAGCCTAATGCAGTTGTGAGAATCAAATTCAATTTAAGTAAAAGAACTGAATATTTTATTAATCTGTAAAAAGTTAAAAAACTAAACAATGAATTATATAATAAATTAATTGAACTGATACCCCCCATAAAAAATTTAGCACATTTTCCAACCTTTCATCATGATCCAGTAATTAAAAAATACTTGCAAAACAAACAGTCTTTGCTCTCACGTATCTAATTTATCCAATTACTTACATAACTAAAATATTTAATCTAAGAAAAATTACCCCCTTTAAGTATGGTGGCATATTTAGCTGGGACACACACACGTCCCTCTCACAGTTATATTCAGCCTCCCTGTGACTAATGAATTGGTTCAAGCTAAGGTACTAATTTCAGTGGTGAGGGATAATGCTTGTGAAGAAATTACCAGGTGACCCAGAACCACTTACCCTGCTGGTTGAATCTGGGTGGTGTGGTGGCTGATCTTCCAATATGTTCAGGGCTACTCTTTTATACCACCCGGCAGTGTATCTGGTTGCTGTCATTACTATGTGTAGTATCTAGCTTTCTTCTTTAAAGTTAAGTTAGGAAGAGAGTTTGTACCATCACCTCTATTCTGTGCCTTTTAGGCTCTGGCATTGCAGGTGTTCATTAATATCACCCTTGTTTTGACTGATGCCCCCTCCCCCCCACTTTCCCTAGTCATACAAGTGTAAATTTCTATTGTACATTAAGACTCAAATCTCTGCTAGAGTTTTGGAGAGCTTTCCACTTGTTGGAGCCATCCTATCTCAGTTCATACCATGTGGGGGTTTGCTGAGTACACATTTTTGACTTATGGTACCTGTGTGGTTTCACATTTAGGAGTGGGACAAGTTTTGATGCTACTTTTAGGCTATGGCTAAGCTTTTGTATTAACACCTTTTAAATTACAGTTTTTAGAGTTTATGCCCAATGTTGCCATTTCATTTATTCAAAGGGGCTGCTTTATGTGCAGTTCTTTTCAGAGATAGTAACTATGCCACTGAACTGCTGCAAACAGGTTAATTTTGATACCTAGTCCTTTTATTGCAGTCCCACCCCCCCTGTTTGGTGTAGACTGCCTTCAGCTCTTAGGAGTGACAGACTTTTGTTGGTAGTCCTCCCTCTCTAAAGTTCCATGTGCTACATTAATGGATGGTTTAGTACCTGGGACCTCTACCTTTGGTGATGAGGGAGAGGTTCAGGGCTTTTAAAGGGACTGAGTGAGGCCACCAGTTCAGTTTTCCATCTTTGGGACTAGTCCCTTTGCTGGTCTGTCTTTGGGTAACCAAAATTTTGTTTCTGCTCTGTTATGCTGATTTGTGTCCTTGGCTCCTTCACGTGTGAAGGGGTGTAACATGGGGTTGCTGATCTCTAGCCACCAGTAATGTCTTTACTTGCTTTTCCCCCAAAATATACAAGGCATTTGAGACACTGTGGTTCATCCTATAGGGATTAAGTCTTCCCTCTGGTTTCACCTTGTGAGGGCACTGTGTGGCTGTCTTTCCTCCTGATCCTGAAACCCAAGTCAACATTCTCACATTTGGAGCCAAAGTTATTTGGGAAACTGTCAGGCACAACAGCTAGAATTTCTTTAGTGCCCACAGTTGGGTCACACAGGTCTCTGACTCCCCTCAACAACAGAATAGGCCTGTGATGTTTTCTACCTTGCTAGGAGACTGCCATCCATCAGATCCTCCCACCTTATAATCATTTCCCAAGGGTGTGTGACTGCCCACTCCTCACTTTCTACCTGCATATAGTATGCAGTCACAAGACAACTGGATTACATCCTCATTCTATAATGCAACCTGTCTTGCCAGAGGCTGCCACTCTTCAGGCTGGCTATGTCCTATTGGAGCTGGATCCTCTACTAGTCCACAAGGAGAGACTTTCTGATGCCTTCCCTTCAGCATGGCCTCACCATGTTCCAGCTCCTCAATGTTTCCTCACACACTGTACTAGCCAAGTGCACCTCCCACCCACCGCTCGGCCCGGGCACCAGGTCTACACGTACTCTTGGTAATAATGCCCACAAGGATAAAACACCTTCGTTGTCCCTGCTTACACGCCTCCACTGCAACCTTCACTAAGGCACTGTCTACATCCTTAGAATAGAGGCCCACTGTGGGTCTAAGAATTTAGTCCCAGCATAGCTCCTAGCTCAACACTACATGTGTACAAAATAACCAACATGTACATTTAGGATAAAGATTGTATGTGAAGTACTAACCAAAGTGGAAGTTTAATATAAGCAACAATCAAGCGGGAGCTTTCAACAAGTAGGTTAACAAATATGGCCAAGGGTCCTACCATTCTATGGTATCGCTACTCTTCAAACTCAATTCCATTTATATCTAAGGTATTGTATACATTATGACGTTATAGTCTAACTTTTATTTTGTGGGTAGAGACCTTTGCCAATGTTACCACAGTAATAACACGCCAATCAACTTGAAATTCTGTTCTAGACTATACTATATACCTCAAGAAGAGGTAAAATTATGTTAAGGTTAGTTTAGCGGGGGAAAGTAACTGTGTGAAGGAATATTTCAGTAAATGCGTCATAGAGGGCGGGGGCCGAGAAGGGCCACCAGCCAGGGTCGACACACTCCCTCTCCGCCATCACAACATTTCTCACACAAAAATTACATTTTTTAACCCCCATTCCATTCACTTCTGCGCTCAACTCTCAGATTTATACTTACTCCATCATGTTTGCGGTGTACTGCGCACAGGGCGCGTGGGCGTAGGTGCGTTAAACTACCATATTGACGATGATAACACGGAGGTAATAACAGAGTGCTGGCTGGGTGTCGACATGGGGGAGACTGCTCGCTCCTCCGCGGAAAAACTCTCTCCTTTCATCAACATATTCTTCCGCTCTTAAACAAAGATAAATTATTTACAATTAATACATATATTTTATGTAAAACACTATTCAAATATATATTAAAACTCTAGAAGTATACCAAATGACCTATACAAGGAGAAATTTAGAGATATTTGAGAAAACTAGTTTGGCGAGCGCAGTAATATCTCTGTTATGACGGTGCTTCGTTTAGGAATGCAATGTTACTTAGGATTCTGTGTATATCTTGGAACAAATTATTTTGAGTTATTGATCATTCAGTGGTAAATAATTTGATTGGACTATATATTAAAGTAAAATACAAAATAAATAATTGGTTTTAATAAAGCATATACAGAACAAATCAAACAGGGAAAGATGTGTAGATAAGTCATCCAAAGTTTAACTAAGAAGGCCTTGCATCAGCTTATGCAACTGAATTCACTTTGTAGTTTTGATGTATATTGAATATATTTGATAATTTTCTGTTCTTAATGTTAGCTGAATGAGTCCGAAGTTAAATTTTGAGTATTTAGTATATTTACCGAACAAAAGCCAAAAAGTTTGTTGCAAAATTTTGCAACTAAACTTATAACACTTAACTTGGCTTATTTTCCTATCTAAATATTTGCAACCTAAACAAACGTTTCAGGGCAATATTAGCCAGCTTACTGATGTATATATTTAGTGAAAAAATATATAAAAATACCCAGCTATAATTGATCGGGGAGAAGGTGGGCTGTGATTGGCTGGCGGGCAGACGGGGGAGGGGCTTACCTCCTCACAACAAATGATGTCATAAAATCCATAGGGTAAAAATAAAAACGTAAAAAAAGTCACAAAAAAGAAATAAAAATCTGCTGCCTTGATGAAGCGAATTCGAAGCAGATATTGAAGGAATACACGCCTGAATAAGGTGGTAGGAGCGTGTATGTGTATTGTGGGAGGGGCCCTTGTGAGTCTGTGCGAGTTTTTCTATGATTTTTTCACATGTCTGGAGACGCCAAGTACATCAGTCTCTACTACAGCCTTGTTCACCAGGGAGCCTCTGATTTTTACAAGGAAATCATCAAAGGTAAGCACTATATGCCATTCACAATGTCATATTTACATCCATTCGCACACGAAATTTCCTGCTTCTAGTGATGACAATGTGAGATGATGGCAGTGCGAAGCTTAATCAGACAAAAGATTAGAGGACGGGTGCCGCCAAGCTTTCTATTGCCTCCATGATTTTCTCATTAGGTCTCTTTGTTTACGTGTGAGAGGCCGGGGCCGGTCCTCGCCTCCCTCACAACCTCTCGCCACAACACCAGTGGGAATGTTATCATGGTGCACCATAGGCCCTCTCCTTAACCCCATGGCTGGCAATTTATTGATTCAGGAGAGAAGGCAGCCGTTTTTTGTTGACATGGCCTTGGGGCAAGAGGGCGGGAGTCTCTACCGTGCCGCTGACAACTGCCCTCCTCCTGCCCCGTCACGCCTTTCTCAGCGTGTCCACCTCTCCTGCCCTCTCTCCCTCCACACACACACTCCTGCCCTCCCTCCCTCCACACACACACTCACTCACTCTTGCCCTCCCACTCTCCACACGCACTCACTCCTGCCCTCCCTCCCTCCCTCCACACGCACTCACTCTTGCCCTCCCACTCTCCACACACACACTCTTGCCCTCCCTCCCTCCCTCCACACACACACACACACTCTTGCCCTCCCTCCCTCCCTCCACACACACACACACACACTCTTGCCCTCCCTCCCTCCACACGCACTCACTCCTGCCCTCCCTCCCTCCCTCCACACGCACTCTTGCCCTCCCTCCCTCCACACACAAACACTTACCCTCCCATCCTCCACACACACACACACTCCTGCCCTCCCACCCTCCACACACACTCCTGCCCTCCCACCCTCCACACACTCACTCTTGCCCTCCCTCCCCACACACACACACACTCCTGCCCTCCCACCCTCCACACACTCACTCTTGCCCTCCCTCCCCACACACACACACACACACTCCTGCCCTACCACCCTCCACACACACACACACTCTTGCCCTACCACCCTCCACACACACACTCTCCCTGCCCTCCCACCACTCCACCACACACACACACACTCTTGCCCTCCCACCCTCCACACACACACACTCTTGCCCTACCACCCTCCACACACACACACTCCTGCCCTCCCACCCTCCACACACACACTCTTGCCCTCCCACCCTCCACACACACACACTCCTGCCCTCCCACCCTCCACACAGGGACCATCTAATTACCCAAAGCTTCCTAACATTACATTAGTAATGAATAAATCTGATATATTTATTCATTATAATGTTAGTGCTGAATGTACAACATGTAAAAGCATATTTTTACTCTGAAAAAGTATAACTTCTTAACAAAATTAGATGAAAATTAGCTGCTGGTGATGCCAAAGCAAGTCGACGGTCCAAGCGACCATGTTGTTGAGCGACTTATCCAAGACACAGTGTTGCCTGAAGAGTGTTTGCTGGCATATCAGCCTCCTGTACCTACCTAACCTAACCAACCTACCAAAACCTAACCTAACAAAACCTAACCTAACAAAACCTAACCTAACAAAACCTAACCTAACAAAACCTAACCTAACAAAACCTAACCTAACTAAACCTAACCTATCCAAACCTAATCTATCCAAACCTAACCTATCCAAACCTAACCTATCCAAACCTAACCTATCCAAACCTAACCTATCCAAACCTAACTTAATATAACCTGTATGCAATCTTGGCTAAGTCGCTCCACAACATTGTAACTTGGATCGTCGACTTCCTATGGCTTCTCATGCCACTTGGTTTTGTCTAATTTCGTTATAAATTTATTTTATTTCAGAGTAAAAATATGTTTTTTCATGTTTTTTCATGTTTTTTTTTTCGAGACTGTGGGTTAAAGATAGTGTTTGCAAATGAGAACACAAAGGAGATGATTCTAACAAGGAAGACCCACCTGCAATATGTGGGAGAACTCAAAAAAGTACTCCTCCAGAAGGACATGATGAGGGAGGAGAGAGCCATGGCGGCAGAAGCAAGGAAGAAGCGCAGGGCGAGAGGGGAAAACCAGGAAATCACAGCTCCCAACACAACTTCCCCAGAGGTGAGGGGGGAACCCACAACCAGCTACCCAGTAACACCAGAGGGGAGGGCAACCCCACCACCCTCTGCATAGAAAACCCCCTACCCCAAACCCTCCCTGCCCCCACTCAAATGCTCAGCCAAATCTCCCTCCCCTCTACACCCCATTCCCACTCTGCTACCCCTCCCCTCCTCCCACTATGTCCCCTCCCTTCCCCCTTTTCCTTCCAGTCCTCCCTCCCCATTCATCCCATACCCTCCCTGTCCTCCCTCCCTTTCACTTGACCCCCTGCCCCCTCACCCCAGTATCTTCTGAGACCCTGTTATCCACCTCACAAATCTTCACACTCATGGAACAGCTTCCCCCACCAACAAAACACTCGCCATGGAGGTGATTTGAGAAGGGGCAGAAGAAAGTGAGCCTCAAGGCAATGTACACTAACATAGATGGAATTACAAATAAAGCAAATGAACTTGGAGAATGGGTACTAGAAGAAAACCCAGACATAATAGCACTCACAGAAACAAAGCTAACGAAAACCATAACAAATGCAGTGTTCCCACAAGACTATTATGTTATGAGGAAAGAGAGAGAAGGAAGAGGCGGTGGTGGTGTAGCTTTGCTGGTAAGAAAAGGCTGGGATTTTGAGGAGATGGTTATTCAGGGCTGTGAAGGTTTCAGTGACTACATAACAGGTACCATAACAACTGGAGGACAAAAAATTATAGTCATATATAATCCACCACCAAATGACAGAAGACCCAGACAGGAATATGATAGAAACAACATGGCCACCATTAACATAATAGAGAGAGCAGCTTCTGTTGCTAGCAGGAATGGATCTGGACTACTAATCATGAGAGACTTCAACCACGGGAAGATAGATTGGGAGAACAAAGATCCGCACGGAGGACCAGAAACATGGAGAGCTAAGCTGCTGGACGTGGCAACAAGACACTTTCTAAGCCAGAACGTCAAGGAACCAACAAGAATGAGAGAAGATGAACCAGCCATGCTCGATCTGATATTTACCCTAAATGAGTGGGATATAAGGGAAGTTAAGATGGAAGCACCCTTGGGAATGAGTGATCACAGTGTATTGAACTTTGATTACCTGGTAGAGCTAGGAATTATCTCCCCCCAAAAAAGAACTAGGAAACAAAAGGCTGGCATACCGAAAGGGGAACTATGAGGAGATGAGAAGTTTCCTAAGGGACACAGACCTCAGAGCTAAGTCTGTACAAGATATGATGGACTATGTCACCCAAAAGTGTCAGGAGGCAGTAAACAGGTTCATCCCGGCCCAAAGGGAAAAATCCGAGAAGCAAAAGAAGAATCCATGGTATAATAGGGCATGTATGAAGCAAAGGGACCGAACAAAAGGGTGTGGAGGAACTTCCAGAATAACAGGACACCAGAAAGCAGAGAGAGATACCAGAGAACCAGGAATGAGTATGTTAGGGTGAGAAGAGAAGCAGAGAAAAATTATGGAAATGATATAGCAAACAAAGTCAAGACCGAACCAAAGCTACTCCACAGTCACATCAGGAGGAAAACAATACTGAAAGAACAGGTAATGAAACTTAGAACAGGCGAGGACAGGTATACAGAGAATGACAGAGGTGTGTGAAGAACTCAACAAGAGGTTCCAGGAGGTCTTCACAATAGAACAAGGTGAGGTCACTGTGCTAGGAGAAAGGGAAGTAAACCAGGCGGCCTTGGAAGGGTTCGAAATTATGAGTGGGGAAGTCAAGAGACACCTGCTGGATCTGGATGTTAGAAAGGTTGTTGGTCCAGACGGGATCTCGCCATGGGTACTGAAAGAGTGTGCAGTGGCACTTTGCTTGCCACTCTCCATAGTGTATAGTAGATCGCTAGAGACGGGAGACCTACCAGAAATATGGTAGACGGCGAATGTGGTCCCAATATACAAAAAGGGCGACAGGCAAGAGGCACTGAACTACAGGCCAGTATCCTTGACTTGTATACCATTCAAGGTGATGGAGAAGATCGTGAGAAAAAACATAGTAACACATCTAGAGAGAAGGGACTTTGTGACAAATCGCCAACATGGGTTCAGGGAGGGTAAATCTTGCCTGACTGGCTTGATAGAATCTACGACCAGGTGGCAAAGATTAAGCAAGAAAGAGAAAGCAAACAGAGCAGTGAATGCAACAGAAAAAATGCCATAAACAACCTCTTTTTCTTCAATTTAGAGTACAGTACAGGATTACTAAAACACTTATAGAATACAAACCCTGCATTGAATGTAACGAAAGGCTTCCTTCTAAGTGGGTCCAAGTGTCTCCCTATTGCTAGCTACTCTAGATAACTCTACTTCTATCAAATTGCAACAGGGCACTTACTAGTCATTAACCACTGGACTGCGCTGGCCGAGAAAACTCGTTCACCAGAATCTGCCCCAGCCAACATATGATTATGTTAGTATATCATAAGATTTAAAACTCCCATGCATACAAGGAGGCACACATTTGCTTCCTCAGACCTCTAGTAACCATCTCCCATCTTCAAAAAACATCCTGAGTCCCTCCCTTTGCTTTCATGGGCTTAGTAACATGTTCTAGGTTACTAAGGCCTACGAAACATTCCTGAGGCTATGGCTTTAGGAACATGTATGGCAGCCATACTATGAGCCACTGAAAGTTTAACAGCTGTAAGTTAGTGATTATCATTATATATTTCAGGCTAAATGAGGACTATGTCCAAATATAAGATTTAGGCTTATATATAGGCCTATATATATACACACTATATATACACAGTATTAGTATGAATAAATACATGGTGTGCATATATTTATGCATGTGTATCTGTATAATATATCTATCTAAATCTAAATAGTTTGTCAGGAAAATGCAGCTGGGACTGCGTGGTGCATGAAGTGCATTAACTTTAATAGCATCTTAACTGATGGAAACAAATTGATAATGTTTCTCAGGTTCCAGTCAGCAAGCATCAGGTCAAAAGTAAATGCATAGTGATCCTGAAAAGGAGCCACAGAGATAAGCTTCCTATGGTTTCAGACAGTCGTTGCAAACCCAGTGGAGCAAGGCCTTGTCCAACTCTCAAACTTTCCAGATAGGAATCAAACCTGTCAAGCCGGTATGTGAGAACATCTGAGGCCCCTAAATATGTACCACTGTCAAAGAATATAGAATAGCCCAGCAATTAACTATCAGACCTCTAAATATTTATATTTTTTAGCATTGCTTGTCTGGCATATATTTTACTTATCCAAAAAGTAAAATTCTGCTACCCCTAGGGTAATTAGATATACAGTATACCCCATCCAATTTTAACATTTAAGCACCTCATATTTACAACCATATGCAGGATTCTGATTTGATAATTATAACCTGATTTAGATTTTATGAAGAAATTGAGTTCGTAACCCGAAAAGTTTGTAAATAGGGGCATTTTGTACCAGCAGACTACTGGACCTAGTTACATTTACAACTGCCTACAAATCACATTAATTAATGCAATAGCTATAACATAATTTAACTGTAGCTTTCATAATATGTATATGTCTTGTAAACAAAGGCATTTGGGTTATCATCGTCATCTGCTGGAGCTGTATGCATGAGGTTATTGCAGCAACTGACAGAAGGTCAAGAGTAAAACATTGTGCATGATATCTTGTATTCACTCATTTGATAATTACAGTACTTATATCCACCCATCAATTAGGATAGTTTTTCCAGGGTGTAGCATGAGCACTTAACCAACTTCAGACTATCTGGAGGTGCTAGTGATAAATTATGTGGCATTTACAGGCTGGACCTTACTAAACTACATCTTTACATACAATGTACAATTCATTAAAACTGTGTTTCATTATTTAAACCCAATGTGCAAATCAATAGGTGTGTTGAACAAGGTGCCAGTCACCATGTTAACCATGAATAATGCAAGAGGTGTCAGAGTTTTGGTAATAGCAAGCCAAACAGTTCCAACATTGTCCAGCTGGTTTAGCAACTTCCTTATGGCAAAATTGACATGTTTTATAGTGCTCCTTATTACTGACTGATTTTACCTTGTATTTAATCTGCTTGGATATTTTTTATAGCATCATAGATCATCATCATCATCATGTACCAAACACAGGACAAAAGAGGCTTTCATGCTGAACCTATCATACCTTGTATCATCATACCAAGAGAGCCCTGCACCATTGTTGAATATCTTTAACCTCTGCCCTGTCTTTATAAAAATAAATGAGCCTTAAAAACAAGGCAGACAAAAAACAAATGGTCATAGCCAGTGAGAATAAGTCAGGCTGTAGAGGAGTAGAAGGTGGTGTTACATATTGCTCTGTTTTAGGATCATTGCTCTAATTTATGTAAATGACTTCCCAGAAGGAGTAAGCTCATATAGTGTATGCTGACGTTTGCAGATGATTCAAAGTTAATGAGGAGGGTAAGAACTGAAGAGAAGTGTAGGGTGCTGCAAGGAGACCTTGATAAACTTCAGGAGTGGGCAGATAAATGGCTGCTGGAATTTAATCCAAGTGTAAAATAATGAAAATGGGTAACTATTCCCTAAAGGGAAGGCAATTACAAGAAACAATAAGAGAAAAAGACTTGGGAATAGACATAATCCCAACTCTAACACCAGAAGATCATGTGAACAGGATAGCATCAGCAACATATGGGAAGTTAGCAAACATAAGAACATCATTTAAGAATGTAAGTAAGGAGGCTTCCAAGTCCATGCACACAGCTATGCAAGACCATTATTTGAGTATGCAGCACTAGTATGGAACCTACACCATGTGAAGCACAAAAAGAAACTTAGAAAGTTCAAAGGTTTGCAACTAGATTAGTACCAGAACTATGAGGACTGTGCCATGAGGACAGGATGAGGGGGGGAACTCACCCTCACAAACTTAGGGGAAAGAGGAAACAGAGGAGGATATGATCACATTTAAATAAAAAGGAGGTAGTACAAGGGGACATTAGTGGAGGCTGGACATGCAATTGAATCATAGAGATGTAAGGAAGTTCTTGTTCCCTGTATGAATAGTCAGCAATTGGAAGTTGTTGGAGTTTCAACAACAACTTTAAACAAAAATATGATTATGGTTAAAAGATGTAATTAACACGCCAGGTATAAACTGCTAGGAGGTTGGGCATGCAGAGCTAAAGCTCACTATCCTGTAGTCACTGACAGGTAAGCACTTGAATCAAAGTTCCTTCAATACTAGCTTGGTTGGGGTGCTGAAGGATCTGTGGACCCAACTGGATCTGAAAGCAAGTGCTCTGTAATGGTAGCTTTGAGTCCTAACTTTTGTAATGCCTAGATCTTGGGTAGTGGTACTGCCTTTGTTGTCCGTACTGTACTTGTTCTCAGCATTACATGTCTTACATTTGGACCAACACTGATTTGCATGCCTCTACTCACTGATTACTCATACCATCTTGCAGCATTTCAAATTTTTGGGCCTTTTGAGGGCATTTAGGGCCTCTTGTGTCTCTTGCTGTTATGGATTGGGGGAGGAGAAGGCGACTTTCTCCAGTAAGACTCCATTTGTTTGCCTTTCTTTTTCTCAAGGGAGCAGCACCTGACTTTCTCACAGTATTTTCTGCTGCTGTGGCAACATTTAGGATTATCTTTGGGGGAACTTTCCATTCTCTCTTCAGAATACCCTTTTGTGTTGTCACTTTTTGTTTTGCTGCTTGCTTTCCTCAGCTGGTGGATTCGGGGGTCAACTGTATCCCTTTTTCCTTGCCTGTTTTCTGTTAGGGTACTTTATGCATTTCTGAGGTTGGGTGTTGACCCTCTTGTGGCTTTGGAGTTCTTAGGTTGTGCCAGCTTCTCTTCTTCCCCATGAGATTTTTGTGAGTTTGTTTGATGCAGGTTGACTGCACTGATGCCCCTCTTATGGTGTGTGTCTTTTTTGCTTCAGTCCCATCATGATACTCTCAGGGGGCCTCGCTTCTTTCTTGGGTTTTCTCAAGTTTCGTCCCGGTCCTGTATCTGTTTGGCCTCATTTGGCCAGTCTTGGTCCAGCAGGTGGTTTTCTTGGGATTCCTTGGTCCCTTGGTTGATCCTTGGCACCCGTTGTGTTCTTTGATGTGATGCTGGTTTGGGTGTTGGTCTTTGGTGTCCCATATCTTTGTCTGCCTTAATTTGCTCGGCCATTTAGTTTGTCTGTGAGCTAGGTATGATGTGCCTTCTCTCTTGACAGGTTTTGGTTTCCTTGTTGGCTGATGAAAGTTCCACTTGGTTCTGTCATTGATTTGGTCTCTGTTAAGCCAGGTCTGGGTCTTCAAAATGTTACTCCTTCTTTTCTGCCTCCAGACTTGTTTGGTGCCTTGCTTCTGTCTTGTGGGAGTTCTCAATTCCTCATTGGTCTTTGAAGTAGTTATATGGCAGCCTGTATGGTCTTCTTGTTAGGGGTTTGTAATGCTTGCATACACTCCTACATTCCTATTTTAGTGCTTTGTGTGAAAGAAGATTCTGCCAGCTGTCTTTATTTGTGAATGAGAAGCAAAGTGAGTGCACGGTGACAGTTGAATTCTCGAAAAAGTTCAAGAAATGCACAGTGTATGTTCATGAGATCAAGTTTTCTTAATTCAAGACTTACCGGTAAGTATATCTTGTTGGGTATCTGTGGAGATCTCATGTTATCAGAAGACCAAAGGTATTCCAATGGCCATTGCATGCCTAGTGGTTTGTTAATTACAGCAAGGAGAATATATGTACATTAACTAGTCATCTTCTGGGAGAGCAAGTTATGGCATGGAATGAGAGGGTATTCTTGCGCCTTGTGGTCAGTGAGGGCGAGAGGAGCCAGCCGTTTCCTAATGAATAGGCCACAGCTATGACATGATCATGTCATGACCTCTTTCCATTTGAAGGGAAAGACCCTGATTGGACTAGGCATGATGCCTTGCATCATATTGGTCAAATTCATAAAGTATACTGGCCAACCGTACTTGGAGGGAGCATCCAGTGCCCAAGGATGCCCGCCAACGGCATTCCGAAGTTGAATTTTGCACTGGTAGGACGTGGTAGGCAGAGATTTAGAGTAACACCTTAGACATTGAAAATGTGTCTTACACATTGCATGAACAGTCCTGCAGATTCACCACAATCAAAATCAAATCATATGCTTGCTTGCAAATCATGCAGTTGCAAAGAAATTACGTACTGTATGATTTCACATATCAATTATTTTACAGTTAAAACATGCAGCACAAAGCATCTGAATATAATGTAAAAAAAATGTGAATACTTGATACTGATGGATCATAAATTGCAATCTCATGGAAATTTAATACAGGCTTGAATCTTATCTCAAATTGAAAAGTAGCCTATATTTAGCTGGAGAAAAAGTACACTGCAAAAGAGAATATATTGTACAGTAATACAAATAATGAGAATCATAACATTAATTATATAAATCTGTAGTACATACAGCTCTTGAAATTTATACCAGTGCTGTGATGTTATCAAAACATATATGTACTGTATAAAATTTGTTAATGGTTTATTTTATTTTTAATTTCAAAACTTGTTTTTTTCCAGAGCTGCAGGCTTGTTTCTGCCAGTTAATCAGCTCAACTGACCATTGGAACAGCAGTACAATAGTTAATATGATTAGCATAGAGTAGCTAAGATGGCAGATAGCTGTTACTTTGAGTGGAAATATGACTGTGCAGACAGGCCAGAGAAGTTTACAGTTTCTGGAGCACGAAGAATACAGACAATTATCAAGTGCAGCAAGGATAGTGATGATGGAAAGCATACTCAACTCCATAAACAATTGGATGAGAAAGGCCAACTTGAAATACACTCTCATAAAAGTTAGTTTCCTTATACATTTGAACAAACACAACATTCATAATATGGTGAATTCAGTAACCGAAATGTCAGGAAACTTTAATAGTCTGACATTTCTGAATTTTGTTCTCAAGAGAATTGTACTCTTTGTGGAGGGCACTGCTTCTTGAAAAGGTATAGAAGCATCTATTCTGGTAAACTGCATCACCCTCAGCTAGGGGGACCTCACTATGCCTCATAGGCTCCCTCTCCCTAAATGGGGAAACAATTTATTTTTTGTTAACTACTGTAATAGATTTTTGTACCACAGCTAGTTGCTATAGTGGTATAAGACAGGTACTTTATTAAGAAAGTTACGGTGAACAGCCACATAAGGAAATTATATGAGCCCTTAGATCAGCTGAAGCACATGGACCTGACAAATATGGAGTCTGATGGAAATGCAAATGTTATATCGGGGTGAAAACTTAGTTGTACAAATTTACTCAAAATTCTGATTGAATAATTGAGTGAAGATCTTGTGATATTTTCACTTGAATATGACAGTATGATAGCATCTACATAAAAGACACCTCTGTCTTGTAGTTGGCACCAAATATGATGATTTGCATGTTGGGTGTTGAAAATTGATTCAAGTAGATTAAATGTGAGATAAAGTTGGCTCAAGGAGATAAGGAACACTGTAAAACATGTATTGAGTAAAGAAGTTGCTAAACCAGCAGGATAGTGTTGGAACAATTTTATTTGCTACAGTATTGCAAAACTTTGACAGAAGTTTGAGTAATGCAAAACTTTTAGCATTATTCATGGCTAACATGATGGCTCAAACCTTGTTCAACACACCTATTAATTTGTACATTGGGTTTAAATAATGAAATACAGTTTTAATGAATAGTAAATTTTATGTCCAAGATGTAGTTTAGTGTAATGTCCTGCCTGTAAATGCCACATAATTTATGACTAGCACCTCCAGATAGTCTGAAGTTGGTAAAGTGCTCATGCTACACCCTGGAAAATTATCCTAATTGATGGGTGGATATAAGTAACTATTAAATGAGTGGATATAAGTTATCATGCACAATATTTTACTCTTGACCGTAGTCAGGAGTAAACTAGTCACTTATTGCAGTCAGTCACTGCAATACCCTCATGCATACAGCTCCAGCAGGTGATGATGATAATTCAAATGCCTTTTGAACTTTACCAGCATACTAGTTGTCTGTTCACAAGACAATATATTATGATAGGTACAGTAAAATTATGTTATAGCTATTGCACTAATTAATGTGATTTGTAGGGGTTATTAATGCAACTTGGTCCAGTTGTTTGCTGGTGTCCTATCTATGGTACTATTTTTAAGACCTTAAGTGTTATCAAATCAGAATCCTGTAGGTGGTTGTAAATATGAGGCACCTAAATTGGATGGGTTGTATAACAATTACCCTAGGGTGGCAACTTTTCATTGTTCATGTTCAGCCCATTTCATTGGGCTGATCAGCCCAGCAATTGGTTTTCAATTTTTGGCCTGTTTTGACAGGGGTACATATTCAGGGTCTTCAAAAGTTATAATAGACAGGCTCTTCAATTTTTATTTGAATTTGGGAGGTGTGAAAGTTGGACTCGGCTTTGTTCTATGGATTTGATGCCATAGGTGCTGCAAGTACTCGTCTCCACAAATGTCAGGAATCAAAAGCTTCTTATCCATGTAACTCCTTTTTTAGGATCACAGTGACTATCTTGAGCTTTCCCCTAGCCATGATATCCAGCTCAACTATTCAAATCCCTATCAAGATTCCCTCTTTGTCTCATGCAGATTGGTCATGGATTTATTCTGTTTCTTACAGTCTGTTTCAATCTTTGCATTTGAGTTTTTATGGCAGATGTGCTTTCTGCTTCATGTGGTATCTGAAATATCATCTTTTAGTCTTTTAGAGAATCTATAAGATGGCTTGGTGATCTCTCCAATGGTTCATTACTTTGAGGATCGCTTTTTTGCTCCTTGTTCATCGTCTTGACTTCTTATATCCATTCATCTCGGTTTTGAAATAAGCCTCTGGAATCCTCCATTATTTTGGTGATATTAAAGCAGAATTAGACTGTTGCTAGATCTCACAATCTATGCAAGGTTGCCCCCTTGAGAGTTTTCTTTTCAGTCATGTTTGAAAATATGATTCCTACATATGGCTCCTGAAGGTCAAACTGTATCTTACCAAGAGTGCTACAATATATCCATAAGCTCCTTCACTTTGGCTTCCAATGTGTGGCCCTGAGCAGGCCCTATCTCTGTTAATCTATTCTTCATGGGAAATAACCGTTGCAAGACTGGATGGTGTTCAGTTATGTCAAGGCTCTGTATGAGTGCCTCATCTGGAGGCTGAGGTACCTTTTGCAGCCCAATTATTTGTTGAGTGACTGTCAAGCACCTTCTATGACTGCAAGGATGTTTTGAAAAGATTCATGTGGTGTCAATACCATGTGTCAATTCTGCCACACTGCATTATCACTAACATAACAGTTTGCATTATATGTACCTTTATGAGTGGCAGAATAATCCACTCAGAATAACACATTTCCTAAACTCAAAGCATAGCTTATAAATTTGAATGGATATTTACTGCATTGTCATGCAGTAATCTTCCTAGATCTAGATACAGTATGTATTTTTCTTCCATATGTTTGTTATAATTTGCCATAATTTTCCGCTATGTTGACATTTTATAAAATAATTTTGTTGGATATACTCACCTCGTAAGTAAATTTTTAAACAATCTTCCATTGCCCTTTGTATCCTTTTTATCTTTTACTACCATGAAAATGTAATTTACATACCAACAGTATGTTGGCTTAAGATAGCCTACATTATTTTCCAGCTTGTATATTTCGTCTATTGAGTTGCAAATGTCAGGGCATTGCTGGGATTCCATTTCAATGCCTTTTGCTCTTAATCATGCAGCTTGTTTTCAGTACTCTTAAAAAGAACTTCTGTAGTGAAAACCCCCCTAATAGTTTATCTAGGATTTCTTTGGAGAGCTTTGGAGCTTATAGTGAAGGGTGGTGATACACCACTCGCAATCGAGGATCCCGGGTTTGATTCCCAGGCAGGACAGAAATGGTTGGGTGCATTTCCTATCACCTAATGTGAAATAGGTAACCGGGAGTTATTCAAGTGTTGTGGAGTTGCATCCTAGGTAGGGTAAGTAGTTCGACCTTGGGGGGGGACCTTGATGCAAGCCTAAAGTATATGCATACACAAGTTGCCTGTCTGCAACAAAACAAATTATTAACTATTAAGATACAGTAGTATAATCAGTTGTTACTTTATAATGTAATTATTATGTTGAATTTAAATTCTGTTACAATGTACCTATTATTCCCTTATTGTCAGCTTGGACCTGCCTGAAATGCTAGGCATGTTAGTGGCTTTGCCACTAACATGCATACATTGTTGAATGTAGCAATCAACAATATATGTACTCTCACAACCCAATATACTTTTTGGCACTATATAAATAGATAAACAAGTAAGTAAATATATATATATCATTGGACGCAGTACTGTTAAGGATATCTAGAAATTTACTAATGAAGTTATGAGAGTATTTTGTAGTGATATGTGGAGCTATGATCTGGTTAGTTGGGTCTTTGTGAGTTGATGAGTTTGAGTGATAACTTGGGAAATTGTGAAGCTAGGTGCACTATTGGGTTTGTGAGTCATTACATTCCCATAAATATATCCATTATAGTGTAGCATTCTGACAAGCTAGTGCCTTAAAGGCAGTTCCTTGATTTGTGTGGGAGTTAGTGCTGCAAAAACAATGCAAATAAAAAATTGCACAAATCGAATTTCAAAGGCATATATTATAGCAAAATAATTTGGTTCCAGAGGCCCTCTGAAGTCCACTTTGTCATACTTTAATGACAAAATATAAGTGTTGAAACAGGTTTTTATGTACGCTCTACTTTACAGCCACACATTCAGCAAATAATAAAGTCCAGAATACATACTGTACTTTGGATATGATCTCATTCATAGAAATGAGAATTTGTATGAATTATTCATGCTTGAAGAATGTTATGCCCCTGAAGATAATGAAGCAAATAATTGTTCTGATGGGTCCCCTAGCCATGATGTGCCTGACCACCACAGGTGCGGCAGTCCAGGTCACCTAAGGCTCTACCCAGTCTGCCTCCTTACCCACAGCATTTGGGGACATGGAACATCTGATGGGGCCCATCATCTTCATGCTTAATGCTTAAAACATGCAATTAACTCAGTCAAGTTACTCCCTTATGCACACACAACAATATTAGACAAAAATAAATTTTTTGTCTTTTTTTTCCAAATGTGAGTTAAAAATATTGCATGAAAAATATTGATATAAAATATAGAAAAATAATATATTTGTGTTGATACGTATACAGAATTCCATATTAATTAAATTCTGATATTGAAGACAATTCCTAAAATGTTTATAGAAAACATTATCCTGTAACCCACATACAGGATAATTTTTTTTGAAATTCTAACCCACTTGCAGGATAATTTCTGTAATTCTCTCTAAAAATTACAGACAATTCTTAGAGAGATTGTAAATAAATATGGTTGACTAAAAAAAAGCTAAAATTGATCCCAAAATTAACTCGTAACATAAATATTTTTGGGTGCAATGATGCCGGATGCTCCAGGATAAAGAACATTTGGTCACACTTTACCCTTCAAAGATGAGGGGTAAAAACCCCCAAGAGCCCGGCTGGGTCTCAAGAAGACTAGGGAGAACTGCATAAAGCCCCAGCCACCAGGGTAAATCCTAGGAACCAACTCCTCACAAGGACAATTAGAACTGAAGAAATGAGTCAAACAGAAAACTGGAGCCATGACCACCTCCCATGTGGTAAATGCAGAAAGGAAGCCAAACCCAGCAGGAATATGGAAATCTCATGATCTGTTGGATAATAGACCCCAAAGGATGTTGGAAACTTGGCCTGAAGCAGAATCACCTGATTTTTCCCTCTGAAATTTGTATTTTTCAGAAAAGAATTGTATACTACGGGGGGGGGGGGGGATGCAGTAAAATTTGGATAGTCTGTTTATTAAGTAGAGTAATTTCCATAAAATATTTTTTTTTTTAATTTTTGCAAATACAGTTTTGCATTTTTATTTGTAAATATTAATCAAAATATTTAATACATTTATATTTTATAATTGTTTTCCCAAGCTTATACTGTACTATAAATTGTACAAAAGAGTTTGTAGCATTTTTACTGTGATATTTGCTTACCTATTGTGAGTGCACACATGCTCACATGCTTTCCCTGTGTGAGTGCGCAGTCTTACCTCTCACTACTCGAGCATTTTCACTCACTTTTCTTTGGGTATATTATTATTTCTAAGCTTAAACCATGTCATCATGTCATCTGAAAAGTGTGTGATAAGAGTACCACCAGATTGAGTAGCTGGTAGAGGGTTATGGTATTGTCACTAGTATACAGTAGTGCTGTTTTATTTATAAAAAGCAGAGGAAGTAAACCATGGAGTTTGTAAGTGAGAGAGAGAGAGAGAGAGAGAGAGAGAGAGAGAGGGATGGGAAAAGCAGAGAGAGAAAATCATTGAGAGCATCTAAATTTTAGCAGCTGCATGATGCTGTGTATGTGTGGTTCGTGTAGAATTGTATGGTAGGTGTACCTCGTTTTTTTGGCTCATAAATCCAGTCTGCAGCTGAACAAATGGCACATACTGTCGGCATTGAGATTTTCAAGACCAAACCAGGGTGGCTGCAGAAGTTTTAATAGATGACATAACATGGCACTGTAAGTGTTTTTGTTGCTTCTGAATTAACACCAGCCTCTACTTTTTTGTACTAAAGAAAATTGTTTAAATACAGAATATACATTACATATTACCAGAATCGTTCTTTATTATGTGTCTAAATATGCATATAACTTGTATTTTACTATAAGAAAAATGTGAAAAGTTTTGTGATAAATAGACCAAAATGGGCCATTATTTAGAAATCCGAATCATGTCTGAAAAACTGTATGATCCAGATTTTGCAAGGTGAACTGTATTCATAATGTTATTTATACCTGAACAGTACTGTAATGTGAAATATGCCTGGCACAGGAACTTGGATTACCTCACTTGATTGGCTGTGAGCAAAACATTTTAGTTAAAAAAAATCATTATTATTGGTGAGTTGATTAGGCTTGTTAAAGGAGTACAGTACAGCATTTATATTTATACATATGTAATTTGTTATTTCAGGCCCTGGTGCAAACATGAGCTATCTGCCGCCTTGGGCACCAACTTCAGGAGGGGGTCATTATCCCCCACATATGCTCTCTCCACACTCCAGCTCTCCACATTCTCCTCAGACTTCACATAGTACAACTCAGCCAAACAATTCCGGATCAGTTTATCAAAATCTCTCTCCAGTTGTAAAAAGTGTTTCTCCTGCAAATGTTTCTGTTACACAGTCCAACAATGCACCAAAATCATCTGCTGTTGCTGTTCCATCCAGTGGTTCAGCATCATCTCCCACATCAGCAACATCATCTGCTCCGTCATCTGCACCTCCAGTAACTATTGGAGATCATTATGAGCCCCAGGGCTTTCAGAGGTCAAATACACCTCCTCTAAAAAGACCTGACTTGATAGAAAATCTTAAAACTGAAAATACTATGAGTGATCATCCGCCGTCTGAAATGTTACTTGCTCTAGCAGGACCCAGCTCTCTGGACCTCAAATCACCTAGAAAGTATGTTAGAAGGTATGGCTTTGTTTTGCATACAGATTCAATTAACAATAAATGTTTTAAATGTGGTGCTAAAATTAGTATAAAATATTAAAAATGTAATATCTAATTTATTGTAACAGTTAATATTTCAATACCAGTAAACTCTACTTCAATATTTCCATACAGTATTTGTTATCCATAGAAAAAATTATTACAAAGTATACAAATGTAAAAAAAAACATGAAAATACTGTACTGTACTGTATTACTTTTTTAGTATTATGCTGTACTTTCAGGTCACCAGGAAAGTACCCAGCACCAGAGCAGCTGCCTAGCCCAGTTATGTTCTCATATCAAGGTAGAGGAAGGCCACGAAAAAATTGGACTTATGCAGCGGTAAGGAACTGTAAATCTTTCTGGGAGTGCCCCTTTTTCCCCCTCTCACTTCCCAAGTAGCTTCCAGAGTAACTCCACTCTGCTGCTCTCCTTCCAAATATGGCACCCTTCCTGTGCGCAGGAAATAAATTCTTGGGAAAAAATTCTTTTTGTTTTTGAAAATGGTAAATACCCTTCCCTGATCACAGATATGTAAAAATAAAATCAAAATTGTAATTACTTTGGCCGCAAAGGGGTCTGGAAAATGGCGTGTGACATCACGATTTGGTGGTCGGCCGTGATGTAGACTCCCGAAGCCAGTCGCCCGCCAGCTTCAACATGCACGAGTTGCCACAAATATTTTTTTGCTAATTTTTTTGTGTACATTTCCAAATACATTTGTTTTGTTTTCTCTTGCCAATCCTATGTATAATGAACACGTACACAATATTATGGCATTATGGCAATATTATGATACCTGGTTGATTGGGTTCTGGGAGTTCTACTCACCAAGCCTGGCCCGAGGCCAGGCTTGACTTGTGAGAGTTTGGTCCACCAAGCTGTTGCTTGGAGCGGCTCGCAGGCCCACATATCCACCACAGCCCGGTTGGTCCGGCACTCCTTGGAGAAAACAATCTAGTTTCCTCTTGAAGATGTCCACGGTTGTTCTGGCAATATTTTTTATGCTCGCTCCCTGCTCCCTGCTGCTACTTTTGTAGAGTGGAACTATGTTAGCCTTTTTCCACACATCTGCTACAACTCCTGTATACAGGGATGTCTGAAAAATCAGCTGAAGTGGAATGCTGAGCTCAGGTGCACATTCTCTCAGAACTCATGGGGAAACTCCATCTGGGCCAACTGCTTTGTTCTTACTTAGCTCTATGAGCATTTGTTTCACTTTGTCTCTAGACGCCTCTATGTGCTCTATGCTTTTCTCTGGAATTCTTATTGTGTCTGGTTCTCTGAAGATCTCATTTTGTACAAACACACCTTGGAACTTTTCGTTTAATGTTTCACACATTTCCTTTTCATTTTCCGTGTATCTGTCCCCCATTTTCTCCAAGCAAAGTTCCGGTTTGTGCCTTCTTATATTTGAAATCTGTTGGAACTGGTCTGGATATTAGGATGGCCTTCCCTTTGTCCACCTTGATTGGCCCTGTTGCAGATAGGTTTCTGTCCCTGGTTGGTGCTGGGAAGGTCTTAGCTTTATCAGTGGGGCCTTGAATGTTGGTTTACCCTCTGGGTAGATTATTGATTCACAGGCAACTCCCTCTCTCCTTCCTCTCACTTATAGAGTGAGCCAGATTCTGGTCCTGGCTTCTGATAGTTCAGGGTGGGTTTCAGAAGTCTATTGCAATTTCCTAGGGCTCGGCTATACTGTACAGTACCAGTTCTTGAGCTCAGGGATCTACTGAGTGGTCCACCAAAATATGCTTGATTTTTCCTGCATATTTTTGTGGGAGTCAGGGTTTATGTTGTTATCCTTAAAATGCCTTTTAAAGAAACCTTTGGCTTAAATTAAATTTTTGCACATATTGTTTTAATGAATAATCAATAGTTTCTTTTTTCAGGGTTTGCCGACAATGATTCCTGTTACTCATCCACCAATGCATGCAGGATCTGCAGAAGATCCAGATGATGAAGAAAATAAACCATTTAAGTGCAATATTTGTGGTAAAGGGTTTAAACTTAAAGGGGGTCTCATGCAACATGAAAGAACACACAGCACTGATCGACCCTATGTTTGTCCAGATTGTGGCAAGCTTTTCCGGCAGCCAACTCATTTGCAGCAGCATATTCGAATTCACACGGGAGACAAACCTTATGACTGTGCTTTTTGTGACAAATCATTTAGACAGAGAACAATATTGAACCAGCATCTGAGGATACATACGGGAGAGAAACCATATGTCTGTATGGAGTGTGGAAAACAGTTTCGACAGAAGGCAATCCTTGATCAACATTTCAGAACACATTTGGGTGAGAAACCATATGCGTGCCCACATCCATCTTGTAGAAAACATTTTAGAGAAATGGCATCCCTAATTTCTCATATGCAGTGCCATAAAGATGTGACCGATCCTAGAGCCGTTCTTCAGCAAGCAAAGAGATTGATTAAGGAAGAACATAATGAAGATATAAGAATAGATAATCCAGCTCATGGACGAGAGCATGTGGAAGGCTCTGACAGGAGAATAGAACAAGAAAGGGTAGCTCAGGATAGAGAATTAGGGCAAGATAGAGGACTGGGACAAGATAGAGGACTGGGACAAGATAGAGGATTGGGACAAGATAGAGGATTGGGACAAGATAGAGGATTGGGACAAGATAGAGGACTGGGACAAGACAGAGGACTAGGACAAGATAGAGTACTGGGACAAGATAGAGTTTGGGACAAGATAGAGGTTTAGGACAAGATAGAGGCCTTGGACAAGAAGGAATGGGACAAAACAGAATAGGTCAGGAGAGGACAATGGGACAAGATGTAATAAATCAGGATAGATCCCAAGGACAGGATCACAGAGAAAGTGTAGGTAGTAACTCTGAACAAAGTGGAGGATATCAGGGGAATGGGGAGCAAGTACGGCATGATCACCGTTCTTTCACTCCACAAAGTGCATCTAATAACGGTTCAGCTCATAAATCGCCACATCCTTTGCCACATTCAAACACAGACCAACAGAATGATAGTTCATCAGCCCCACCACATTCACAACCTCCTCCAATTTCTCCTAACATGATGCCAACTCCACAGATGGCTATGGCCAACTTGATTCCATACCCTCACTCAATTTTCCCAGCAGCATCCTACATGATGCCTCCACCTGACCCAAGACAGTATCACCCACAAAATCAAGGACAGCATCCTTCAAGGCCAAATCAGTAAATGTTTAATTTATGATTTTGAGAGTTAAATCTTGAATCATGCAAGTTTGTTGTAATAAAAAATCTTGGTTGCAGGGAATTTTGATTCCAAGTGATGTTATTTAAAAATTAGAACTATGCAATTAATCTGGAAATTTATATAGAATTTTTATCATGGGAACTTTTGACCAAAGTTTATGAATGCTATTGCTTTAGGATCAGATTAACTAGTGTCTTAGTTTACTCTAATAAGTCTTAACTTGTAGCTGAAGTTAATACAAAGTGAATTCCTCAGCAATATCAGTGGTTAACAAAATTTTAACCCTTAATATATACATTTTCTAAATCACAGAGATGACTGGATTAAATGAAATTAAAACCCCCTGTCTTGAGCTACACAGGGCATTTTGCAGTAATCACTTAATATATTTATAATGTAATACAACATTCTGTTTCTGGTTAACTACTTCAAGGATTTTTTTAAGATTGGTCTAGCAAAATGCGGCAAGGTAGTTGCAATTCTTATGACCGTTGTTTGACTAACAGTTTTATTTGTTTATTTATTTATTTATTTATTTATTTTTTACAACTTACAAAGCCATTTAGTGCTAATATTAATTTTATTTATGCATTCTTTTAGGCCACATTTAAATAAAAGCAGAAGTTCCTAGGAATCAGCCATTATTTGGAAGAAGCATATTGAAATAGGTAATATCAAGCATAGGTTAAAAATCTAAGCATTAAATGAGTCATTAGTTAGGGGTGCTGTGTCTAGTTATTTAGATTTTAAGATTTTTTCCACCATGGTAGACTTTGTTGATAATCAAATTTTTGTTAAAAAATAATCAAGTCTTGTGCATAAAAATGTAATAAAAAATATAGTGTATGTAGATTTACAATCTTTCTTACATGAGAGCAGCAGCAAATTATACAATGTTCTGCCAAATCTTTTGCAAATCAGATTTTTCCCATGAGGAAAATGTTAGATATTGTATTTAAAGAAAAATGTACACACACATGTGCCCGGTGCATAGGTTTGAATACAGAGAAAGTAACATTCTGCATATTCTGTCTGTGTTTTTGTATATGAATAGTAGTTGAAACCCCAAGCAACAATTATAAATTTTATTGAAGTATAGCCCAGTGTTATATTATGAGAAATATATGAGATTTAACCTAGGATGATGCAGCTGTGGCTCCTATGTTATGCAGTGTCTCTTTCTTTGTGTTTGACCCAAATTTTTTATAAATGTCATTGAAAGGGTATGGTTGCTTAAATGGGCATTAATATTTATTGATGTATACTTTGTTTCAGTGAGCATGCCATGGCCAAGCAGATCTTTGTCGCATAATGCAATACAAAATATGTCTATTTAAATATGCAGCAGAGGTCTAGTTTCCTAGATGCAACCATAGTCTGTTTCACAAGTTTTGTTAAATTTTTATATGTAGAATTTTAGTTGTAAATGTTCAGTTGACCTAAACTTCCCAATATCTTGAATATTTAAATTTTATATAGTATTTCATTATGATGGAGATCTCATTTTCCATATGACTAAGTTGTCACTCAGCATAAACAAATTGTTGTCACATATTATTTTCGATTATCCATTATTTCAAGAAGGAAAGCCTTATATGAAATAGGAAGTTGGTCTATATTATCATCGTTAACTAGATTTCTCAGGTCTTGAATATTATATGTTTGGATACATTGAATATTTTGGGTTAACAAACAAATGAATGAGTTTATGATGTAGAAGAAATGAAGTGTTGAAGCACATGGAAGGTAATGTGGATACCTGCAGGCAGAGGCACTTTTAGAGGACTGTGCTTGGAGAGCTTGATCCTATCCATTTAAAAGAGCAGCTGTAATAGACATTAATTTGACCAATATTTTGTGCTGTTAACATATGAAGTATGCTAATTTCTTAGAATATAATGTGATGAATGAAATGTTAAGCAAACAATATATTTAGAAATAAAAATGTGCCAAGATCTATTAAAAATAAAAAATACTGTAATATGTAAAGGCTCAAGTAATTAAGAGCTAAAGATAAAAAGCCATTAAAAACAACCACTGGTAAAGTAACTGATGAGGAACTATGTCATGCAGTGTTTTAATAAAGTAAAGCAAACCATAATGGTGATGGTGGAAGAGGTAGCGAATATGGTATTATAGACTGACCTCGCTCTTGGAGAGTGGGGGGGAAATAAATTTTCCCCAAAATCCTCTCTAGAACTAAGTATTCTTGGTTAATTCTTGTGCATTAACAGGGTTGATTAAACTTTTGTGGCCCCAATGCCATACAGGCTTATGGGGCTCATTTGGGGAACAATTGTAAAATATATATACACATTTAAAGTATTAGTTGAAAAAATGTAGCAGCAAATAAATATTTTCACACGTACACACACACTGTTGAAATGTATTGTGATAGCATCAAATTCTTAACTATTTTCACACTATTGTATTGAAATATATCGTGATGTGTACACTTAATTTTTTTTTTTTTTTTTTTTTTTTTTTTTTTTTTTTTGAGCTGTACCACTGTTGCTTCCTAAGGCAAGGTTCTATGGGGAGGACTTTGCAAAATGGAGGACAGGTCACCATTCTGTACAGGCTGGACATATATTTTCAGAATATCCTATCACATCATACTGGTGCAAGGAAGACACTAGAAAATAATCCAGCCTGAAATGATCTTGAGAAAGCTAGTTCAGTCACACTCAAAACCCTTCTAATTGCTTCATAGCACCCAAAGAGTTCAGTTGATGATTGATAATTTGCCTGCATGGCCACTACCCATGACTGCCGCTAGTTGGCAGCACATATTTACCTGAATTTATCTAAATTTGGGTAAATTTTGCTAAATACATATACATCGGTAAGATATACTGCTTGGTCCACCTCGCATTCCTCTCAAAATATTTAAGTACTGTACCTTATTTTCTATCTTTAGAACCTTTTATTTTATTTTCCCATGGCCTATTACTGGATAGTTTTTATGTGAATGTTGTGTATATGCGGTTATTGTGTTTGTGTCTGGACACTAACTGACTTGAGTTTCCAGAGTTTTCTTTATTCTGGTTCTGTTTGTACCTGAGCACTGAATATTTGCCTCTTGAGTTTTCAACTTCTCTTGTAATTCTTTGTTTCTTTATTCTGGGATTTAGGATTTTGTGCTTGGCGTGCATAATTCAGGTACATTCGGTTGCCACATCAGATTTTTGTGATATTTTCTGTGGCAGCCTCCAGGGCACACCCAGAAACTGGCATTTCATTACATTCATTGTTATTTATATATATATATTATATATATATATATATATATATATATATATATATATATATATATATATATATATATATATATATATATATATATTTATTTATATTTAGTTTAGCTCGTATAGGTCATGTTATTTGCAATTTTTTGTCAGAGACTGTCCTTGACTCTCTTAGACAATTTTATATTATGGTATTTTGATAGCTCATGCTTGTGGAATTCCTTCGGCAGGTGTTAGTTTGTTTCAGTCTTAGCTATGTGCTGTACTATGTCAGGTATGGGCTGCAGCTGCTAGAGTATGAGTTTTGACAGTCTTCCATTGAAGCTGCTGTTAACCAGAGACCTTGTGTGTTAAGAGGTCTCAGCATATGGGGTTTCTATGCGAGATTCCCTCTTTTTTTCAAAGAAGATAAAGTCTAGATGACTTATGAGTGCTGGCTTTGGCTAGAAGGGTCTTGCTCATTTCCCTTTTCAGGGCTCTTTGGCTGCAGCTCTGGTGACTGGAAAGTATCCTACCACCACCACTGCAGGTGATTGCTGGGTGTGTGGTGGTCAAGGATGATGGGGGAGTCTGAGAAGTCAGTTTTTGGGCTATAAAAGGAAGTTTGTCTAAGAGGTCCATGCCCCTGCCAGAGTCATCTGATCCTTATGTTTCCCAGTTATCTTTTCCTCCCCAGAGAGAGCTGAAGGCTCCTATAGGGCAACATCCTCCTTTCAGCACAAGCTTAGGAATGGATTTCACTCCTTACCAGGACAAGGTGGCAAGTGCCTCTTCTCTGTTGGAGGAGAATCGACAAGAGGAATTTAGTGATAAGGCTGCCTGGTTCACATATGATGATTCTCATGTTTTGGTTCCCAAATTTGATGGCTCTTATCTCCAGGTTGGGGAACTTTATACCCCATCCATCCTCTCAGTTTGATTTTGAAGCTTCTTCTTTCCCACTTTGTATTTGGTTCAACACTGCCTACTGAAGGTAATTCCCCAAGTGTAATTAAAAGATGAGAGCTATGCTTGTGGTGTCCTATCTTCCCTATAATCTTTGTCATGTGATGTTCTGAAGCTTGCAATAGTTTTAGCATACTGTACACTACTTTTTAAAATTGTCCATTCTTATATCACTGAAAAGGAGTATGTACTCAAGCTTTTTTGACACCTTTGTCTCTGGAAAGGCTGAACAGTGGCTCCCTGTAGCTAGCTGCACTGTGATAGCTCCACACTTGTAGGCACATCATTCCTTATGAATCCTTATGAGACCAGGGGTCAAAACCTGACCCATATCACAAAGGTCCAGGGAATATGGGAGTCATGATCATCCTCACTGAAGAATCAAGCTCCCAGAAAGTAAGTGAAACAAAACAAATGACTGCAAGGTTCACAGAAAGTAAACAAACAATGCAGCAAATGAACCACCCAGTAGTTAGGTCATACACACCCTAGTAACAACTGACACTACCAGGTGGCAGCACAATGGGAGCTACTTTCTCTCCTGTCAACAAATTTCAGTCCTTTACCTGATGTCAGACTTGTCTAATAACTCCACAAGTCCCCAGTTCTTCGTGTCCCATATTTTCTAGGTAAGTCTTGGCAGTCCTTTGGGTTCTGTCCTGTGGGGACCCATTGGCTTACATATCTCAATCTTTAATATTTGTTTCAAGTGCATGTGTTTAAAATCCTCACTTATTGTGTGGACTTTGAAAATTTTTCAACTCAAGCTGCACATGTTAAGGGGTGCCTTTCCCTAGGCACACTGGTGTTTCCCTTACCCTGACAGGGTTACTTTCCTGGTGGGGGTTGAGTGTTCGTCCTGTGAAGGGTGTCTAGCCCTGAGTAGTGCAAAGGAGTTTGACTCTTCTGTGAGACTTGAGGTTCAGGGCATTCTGGGGTTTATTGATTACAGGGGTGCATTGAAGTTTGCATACTTGTACATATGGCATGCTGCTCACCTTACCAGTCATGTTTTTTCTTTATGCTGCTTTCATTGTCAGTTCATCCGATGAGCATCCCTAGTGCCTGGGTGCCTTGATTGATCTTCAAACCCGAGTTAGCCCCTCATGCCTTTGGTGTGGTTTACTGTGGATGAGTGTACCGAGTTCACACTTACTACTTGTGAGTTCGAGTGATGTCCATCAGCTTTGCTGTGTGTCAATGGTCATTTATTTTGTCTCCACCATGCTGTCTGTTGGGTGGGTGATAGGGTGTGAGTGGCTTTTACCTTGAGGCCGGTGATATTTGTGTTTACCAAGTCTCTATTTTAGCTGAGTCTCCCAGGGAAGAGGCCTGTCAGAAAGCTGTTACTTAAAAGATTACATTTTTCCCAATTGTTTGTTTACAGCTTAGTGCTTATATGGCTGCCAATAGTTCGCTGTTATGGTGTTTAGTGATTTGGAGTTGGGGTGAATTCCATCTGCTATAAGTTGACCCATGCCTTCTCCTTCCCCTAGTTCCAAATGTCATGGTTCCTCAAGCTCCTTGTAATCTGCTCTCCACCACCATCCCTTTTGCTCCAGGTTCTGAATTGTCTGAGAGTTTTGGGTTGGTGTAGCCGAGATGTATTGAAGCGAGTGACTTCTGACTCCATAGTACTGTAGCTTAATGAAGAAATTATTATAGTTAACAGTTACACAGAGAAATCACACTGACGTGATACATATTGATGAGAAAATCAACCGGAGCTCTTGGGTGACTTCAACCCATGACCAATGGACTATTAGCTGCAGTTTCCACTACTGCACCGCACTGACCTTATGCGTTTCTGTTCTCGTATTGGTATCCGTAGTGATATTTAGCGCCTTCTGATTATTTCGCGCATTTGATGGTGCTACATAGCCTCCCCGGTTTGGTGCCTTCTTTTGATACTTGCTTACCACACTGACCTGATAAACGTTACATAACCTGGGATTGTACTGAATCGACAGGAAGTCTAGAGGCCTCTCCTGAAGCCATCCAAGTTTTACTTATAACAACACCAGGCACCCAGGTGTGGATAAAGTATGTCAGCACCATATGCCCCAACACCAACATCAGTTACACAGAGAAAGTATGGAAAATAGATACTGTACAGGCTTATCCCTCTTCAGATTATCTACAGAAGTCTGCCATGCAGACATTAAAGCCAAGAGTTTCTACATCTTGGTACCTCTTTAAAACTACCTGCCTGTGCCACTTGTGTTTCTTTGGGTGGATTTTTCCTAGTTTTTTTAATATTTTTTCAGGTGGGGGGGGGGGGGTGTCTAGGTACCTAGATGTTCTGGCCTCCTAAAACATCGATCACTTCATTTCCCTGCAGCTGTATCTAGCAGCAT